GGGGTTTACCTCAAAAGCAGGTTGTGGGGCTTACCTCAAAAGCAGGTTGTGGGGTTTACCTCAAAAGCAGGTTGTGGGGTTTACCTCAAAAGCAGGTTGTGGGGTTTACCTCAAAAGCAGGTTTTGGGGTTTACCTCAAAAGCAGGTTGTGGGGTTTATCTCAAAAGCAGGTTGTGGGGTATACCTCAAAAGCAGGTTGTGGGGTTTACCTCAAAAGCAGGTTGTGGGGGTTACCTCAAGAGCAGGTTGTGGAATTTACCTCAAAAGCAGGTTGTGGGGTTTACCTCAAAAGCAGGTTTTGGGGTTTACCTCAAAAGCAGGTTGTGGGGTTTATCTCAAAAGCAGGTTGTGGGGTATACCTCAAAAGCAGGTTGTGGGGTTTACCTCAAAAGCAGGTTGTGGGGCTTACCTCAAAAGCAGGTTGTGGGGTTTACCTCAAAAGCAGGTTGTGGGGCTTACTTCAAAAGCAGGTTGTGGGGGTTACCTCAAAAGCAGGTCAAGGGATAAACAGGTAATGGGATTTACCTCAAAAACAGGTTGTGGGATAAACAGGTCATGGGATTTACCTCAAAAACAGGTTGTGGAATTTTCCTCAAAAACAGGTTGTGGGATTTACGTCAAAAACCGGTTGTGGGATTTACCTCAAAAGTACCCAAAAGCAGGTTGTGGGGTTTACCTCAAAAGCAGGTTGTGGGGCTTACCTCAAAAGCAGGTTGTGGGGTTTATCTCAAAAGCAGGTTGTGGGGTTTACCTCAAAGCAGGTTGTGGGGTTTACCTCAAAAGCAGGTTGTGGGGTTTACCTCAAAAGCAGGTTGTGGGGTTTACCTCAAAAGCAGGTTGTGGGGTTTACATCAGGCAGGTTGTGGGGTTTACCAGAATCAAAAGCAGGTTGTGGGGTTTACCTCAAAAGCAGGTTGTGGGGTTTACCTCAAAAGCAGGTTGTGGGGTTTACCTCAAAAGCAGGTTGTGGGGTTTACCTCAAAAGCAGGTTGTGGGGTTTACCTCAAAAGCAGGTTGTGGGGTTTACCTCAAAAGCAGGTTGTGGTGTTTATCTCAAAAGCAGGTTGTGGGGTTTACCTCAAAAGCAGGTTGTGGGGTTTACCTCAAAAGCAGGTTAAGGGATAAACAGGTCATGGGATTTACCTCAAAAACAGGTTGTGGGATAAACAGGTCATGGGATTTACCTCAAAAACAGGTTGTGGAATTTTCCTCAAAAACAGGTTGTGGGATTTACGTCAAAACCAGGTTGTGGGATTTACCTCAAAAGCAGGTCGTGGGGTTTACCTAAAAACAGGTTGTGGGATTTACCTCAAAAACAGGTTGCTGGATTTACCTCAAAAACAGGTTGTCAGATTTACCTATTATGTAATAATAACAATTATTTAATAACTGTCACTATTATGTAATAATAATTATAATAACTATAATAATAATAGTGTAATAATAATTAATTTACCTATGATGTAATAATTACATAGCCTTGTGACTTGTGACTGCTGCTGACTGGAAGACTGCGGAGCAAGACGAAGACCACTGACTTGCGTCAAACCTGACTCTGTCCTGTCCCAGCTGGCGCCGCACTTGCTCGTGAAGTTCGCACCCTGCATGGTGGAACGAACAATCTGGTGTGACAAGACTCGGCTCCTTCCAAGTGTCGAGTACGTGTCGGCAAGTGACAATACTCCACTCGTTCCGAGTGTCGAGTACGTGTTGGCAACTTCGAGAACTAGACCTGCGAGGAGTCTTCGATTACCAGTTTGACAGCAGCTTACAGTAATCTTGAACACCTTTGACCACAGAAGGTGCTGCTCAAGGGTGGGAAGGTATGATGGGGATTTACCCTGCAATCTCTTGCACATATGTTTTCTACCCTAGGTTCCAGCCCTGGCTTCCAGGGTCTATATATATATATATATTATACATATAAACATATTTTTCTTCCTGGAATCCAGGGTATATTTATATACATATATATAATATATGTATATATACACATGATTTCATAAATGTATCATTGAAGTATGGACCCAAGCATCTAGGAGCTGTAGTAGCACATAGTAATGACAAAACATTCTTGTGGTATAGTAAAATAGGAATCTTATCCGACATGGAGGTTCCCCCCAAATTAACCCTACTATATTTTGGGTTCAATGAGGAGAACATACTCATTTCCATGCATGTGCTGCAGACAGTCAGGCTTGCTCATCTGGCAAATATTCAAGACTAAATTGAGTGTGGTTCTCTTTGAATTGCATGATTACAAAAGGACCTGGCAAAGCATAATAATTCACAAATTCTCAATCCTTTGAGTGAATACGAGTGGCGACTGTGGCATGCAAGTGAAAGATACCAACATGTTTTGGACTTGAGTCACATGCTGCAAAAACACCGAGGGACCTTCAAGTCATGTTGCCTTTTTCAACTCACGGTTGGACATACGCATGAGGATTGTGACCACCGGTTTGCCTTCCCAGTGGCAAACACCTGTGGAGATTTTGCAATACATCCAGGAGTGTAACGGGTCTCAAGTTCAAGATGTTCCTGTTGGTTTGTCCTTTTACTTGATTTTATTTTGATGTTAAGTTGAAAGTGTTTTTTTTCCTCCTTCCTGAGTTGCCTTTTGTGCCCAGGCATTCAGAGTCAAGGAGACTATCCAGAAGTTCTTGCAAGTTTGGTGACTGGCTTCTGCCATTGGGTTTCAGCTAATAGGTTCCCCTACTATAGGGTATCATAATGGCCATTAAACCAGGTAGTATAATCCCCTATACCTTCTGGTAATTTAACATAGCTATAGGAAATCACCATTTTTCATAGGTAAATCATAATAAATCATCTATAAATGGGCCATTTTCCATGGCTATGTTAGTTTACCAGAGGGTAATAATCCTCGTTGTTTCTTAAGTGGCGACCCAACTCACCACGTTCGGATCCGTTCGGATCCGTTCGGTCTCCCGGCTCAGCGTTTTCAAGGCGGTAGATGCCACCGAAAGCCACCTGAAATTGGGAGGGAATCTGGGCAGATTTCATCAGCTAGGGATTTGACGAAAAAACAAATGGAAATATATGGGATATAACTGGGATATATCTATCAGTAACTTCGGGATAATTACTACCCTTTGGCAATTGGAACGTCCAACAATAATAATGGGATTTCCAATTTTTTGATTGGACTCTAATTGGATGTACGTTTTTCGAAAATTTGATCGCACATAAAAACACTACACCACTACCCTTTGGCAATCAAACGTAGCTTGCTGGAAAAATGGGAAAATCTACCATTTAGAAACCTATGATCTCCCCAGCTAGAGACACCTCCATTTTAATCGAGGATTTTCCAGCTAGCCACCCACGTGAAAATAACTGGAGGGTAAGTAGCTAAAAATTATGTGTTCACCAATTACCCTCTGGTTATTTAACATAGCCATGGAAAATGACCCATTTATAGATGGTTTACCTATTAAAAATGGTGATCTTCAATGGCTATGTTAAATAACCAGAGGGTAAGATTCAGAAACTTCATCAATGAAAGTTAAGATTCAACTAAATTCAACTAACACTTAAATTTGGAGTGTTCAAAGCCAGACGGCCGAGGAAAGCTGCCCTTTCACACAATCTTAGGCTATCTTAGGTATCTATTAGGTGGCCATCACTTTTGGATTTAGCCAATTAATTTTGAGCCACTGAACTTAACCAATTTAAATTGGTATTTAACAAACACAATTAGCAGATTTAATCAACTGAACTACAAATTTTACCAACCAAAGTTCAAGCCAAGAACATTGGGATTTACCTGTAGGGAAAAAATATATCTGAGTTCCTCTGAAAACGGGAGATACCCACTTTAAAGCCATTCCAGTGGGGAACATGAACATCGACCATTAGAATTTAGAGATGTCCGGCAAAAAGCTGAGACACAGTTCAAATGGCTCTTGGTAACCATAACTATCCAGCTGTAAGGGGTTGTGTTTATAACATGGCTGTCCAGTTACTAAGTGGTTAATTAAAAACTCCGCAAAAAAAACACGATGAAATGGAAACTCCAGTGGGGATTGTCCATGGGATTACATCAGCATTCAGACTTTCTGGGGTTCTTCCCAACAAAAAAAGCCGGGACTCAAAACCCACTGAAAATACTTAGTGGTTGGTTGATTCCCTGTTAACAGTTTACTTTTTACTGGCTCCTGTATGTGGTAAATCCATCTAATCCGCAACACAGCAGCCTGTTGTACAATGGCTATAAATCCAGATAACAAGCAAGCAGAAACTCCCTATATATCCCTGCTTTACTTAAAGTTCAATCTGGTTGAATCTGGTTGAATCATAGTAAATCCCTGTTCTCCATGTGTTTTTGTCCATCGTTTTCCTGCTTCAACACCCCCATTTTTTGTCACCCCAAGTGGTCACCGACTCCGCGGCAAGTTGCCATGGTATGACCGCCCCATTGGTCGCGTTCCGAATGGTACCTTGGCCCAAAAAAGGGGTTGGGTAGAAACCACCGGACTGACTGGGACCAGTTTTTTTCCGGTGTTGAAAATAAATGGGTGTTGAAAAGAAATGGGAGAATGGGGTTTTGGATCTGAGATGATCTAGGTTAAAAGAAAAAAAACAAGTGAAACAATTGTGTTCACTTTCACTTAAGTGCGTCTGATGATGAGCTTCTGGACCCAGTCTGGCGGAAAATACACCATTTAGTTGGATAATTTTCCCTAGAAACCGTTCAATTGCCACGTTTGATTGCCGGAGGGGTACATCCCTTTATATCCCATGAATATTCCATTATACCCCCATTAAACCACCATTTGTTTTGTTAAATCACCCACTTTTATGGGTAGCTAAGAACATAGATGCCCTTTTTCCCACAGGTTGGTTAATTAATAGAGAACAATATTGCATTCAATTGCCATTCCCATTTATATTCCAATATATCCCTATTATAATCCCATTATATCCCCATCAAGCCACCTTTTTGGCTATAGTTCAATCTCGTTACATCACGATTTTTACCGGAGGGTCTCCATCTTCTTCGATTTGAACCGAACCTCATGTAGGTCAACCGGCTCAACCGGTAACCCTTGGGCCGTCCGGGTGACGCTTCTCCCTGGATCTTCACGTTCCTGGACAAGAGCGCCACCTGCGCTGTGGTCTCCACGAAATTTGGGCCCCGTTGGAGATGAATCTACTGAAAAATGTTGGAACACATGTGATTTCATAGGGTTGTAAGTGAGGTATCCTTCAACTCAACAAAGGTTTGAATGAAACAATCATCGAATTAAATGGGACCAGGGGATTTAACAGTGTTTAATGGAGGTTTAATGGTGGTTAATAGTGGCTAATGATAATTGATAATGGTATATAATGGCTATTTATCATGGTCCATTGAAGATTTTTTAAATATCCGACTGAAATATGTAAACTCAATAAAACAATAAACTTATATGGGATAATGATTCATACGGATAGTATAACCCCCTTTTTTAAGAAGCAACGGCTGATGTCATCTTGGGACACCCAACCAAATTCTTCAAACCATCCCAGGGATCCGTGCCCCCCAGTGACGTGATGTGGTTGAACGTTGGTTAACAAAAACCATAGTTGAATAGTAGTTCGATATATCTACTAATTATAAACATCCATAAACCCTAGATTGACTGGAGTTATAAACCCACCAACTTAGCTAACGAACTGGGGCACCACATTGTATTAATGGAAACCTGGTATCACCATACGATGTCTCACCCTGTGCTGACAGCTCCATCAAAGCAGTGAGCACAGCTGCGTCTCCATACGCCAGAGCAATCGATCTGGCGTACATTGCCGCTTAATGGATCCATCCTCGTCTGCGAGGATTGCTGCATTCGGTGCGTTCTGAGGCAACCACATCCCATCATTGTGCGGTGCGCCAGCCTGGCGAGCTCATTTGCAGCCTCCCAGGAGTGTGCCATTCCACCACGTCACCCGAAGGCACCAGCAGCACCGAAGAGTCCAGCCAATGCCAAGTGCTTACCATAAACCCTAGTTATTGGAGTTATTTACACACACAAGGTGGTGCCCCCCACTTATAAGTTGGTTTACAAACCATAGTAGCTATATATATATACATATATATATATATTCTGCCATAAACATCCATAAACCATATAGTGAAATTGGAATGATTTGCACCAACTTAGCGTTCTTTCTCATCCATAAATCACCTTATTTTTCTGCCTTAAATCATGCTAGAAACGGGGAAAAATCGATGGTCGTTGCTGCATCGCCTCAGCGGAGAGGTCAATGTACTCGTTGTCCAAAGGTCGGGTGAAGTAGGTGGAGATGTGGGTATACCTGCGTCACAGCCGGGAGCCGGGAGCCACAACCGGCCACAACTTGAAAATGGCCGGTTGATTTTATGGTGGTTTAACTAAGGATAGAACTGAAGATGGGATAATATCATGGGATTAATATCTTGTAAGTACTTTTTTTTTTGGTGGTTTAAGTGAGGATAAAACTGAATATCATGGGATAATATATGATAATATCATATTTATTAATGGGATCATTACCACCAATTGTGATGACGATCTCTAGTCCTGTTCGTTGGTTGAACAATCAGATCAGAGTAGAATAAACGATCTACTGGTTGGTGGTTGACCTACTCCTCTAAAAAATATGAGTTCGTCAGTTGGGATGATGACATTCCCAACTGAATGGAACGTCATAAAACTCCATGGTTCCAAACCATCAACGAGTCTACTACAATAAACCGTAGCTAGCCTAGGAAGCAAACTTCGCAAAGATTCGCAAAGTATTTGGGGCATGACCTCTTCGGTTTTGATTGGCGAACATATGTTGGTCATATCAGGGAGTTGACACACATCAAAGAACATCCTCCTCTTGTGTACATTCACTCATTCTCGTCATGTTGAGTCTTACCATGTTTCAAATTTCATTTTGGCAAAACACCGATTTGATGTTTGGCTCAAACACGGTCAAATCCTGGCGAGTTCTCCCAGCTTTTCTTGGCGAATCTTCGACGCCCTGCTTTCTCAGCTCGGTTTTTCATAGATCCCAATGAAAAATCCATAAAAGTCAGAAATGAGGCTACCCAACAACAAAAAAAATAGAACCTGAAATCAATATATAGCAAACATTAGCCAACGCATTCTCATATTCATTGAGAGTTTGTCTGAAAATATGATACACCAAAATTTAATGGTTTATCATAAATTATCATCATGGTTCCGTTGTTGGATGTAGCATGTATGTATATATATATATATATATATATACACATACATATATATATACATACATACATTACATTACATTACATTACATTACATTACATTACATTACATTACATTACATTACATTACATTACATACATACAATTGTTTAAACCCAACATACAGGTTTAAACCCAGAAATTGGGCACCTCCATCTGAAAGACATCAACATAATATTGTAGCAGTCACTAGCAGTCCAATTGTGGATCATACACACACATAATATTAATATATTAATATATATATATTATACAATGTGAGGCCCCCCAGTTGTAAGTTGGTTTATAAGCCCCAGTAACAGTTATGAGTACCAATGAGTACCATAAACCATAGTTATTGGAGTTATTTGCACCAACTTAGCTATCCAACGGGGGCCTCACATTGTATATATATATATATACACCATTCTATACCCATGAAATCAGCATGTTAGATTGCTAATTCCCATGGTTTTTTATATTTTCCACGGCCGCGTTTCCCACCCCAGGCCACTGTTTCCGTTGTTTCCGAGGCGCTTCAATGGTGCCGTCAGAGTGATGGTCTTCATGTCAGAGGCCACACTCTGCACGAAGACGCGCCTCGTCTGCTGTTGATGGATCTAACCCATTCAAGAACACACAATTATGGTCATTTATTAGTTATAACTGGCTATGAATGGGATTGTACACTCTTTAAATGGGGTTTACAAGTACGTATAACTGGTAACGGGCCATAACTGTATGGGGGGTTCCATAAATGAGGTACCCAGAATGGATGGTTCACATAGGAAAACCCTAACATGGATGATTTGGGGGTATCCCTATTTTAGGAAACCTCCATATAGAATAAAGGCTATGGGCCCTAAGTCCACCCCTGCTATACTATTCAGTGTGCACCTTACAGAACAAAGGGAAACACACGACAAAAAGTAATCAAGCAGGAACAGGATAAACAAAAGGAAACACAGAAAACAAATCAACACATATAAGACTATCTGTACGTATAAATAAGCTGTCGACACTTGAACATCTTTGTCTTTAACAGCAAGCTGTCAGGAGTTTGGATGGAAGGAAGTCCTTCAAACTTCAGCTTGTTGCACCAAGCAAGTTCAACTGGGGCTGGGGGGGCTGCTTCCATTCGTTCTGCTGGAATGCTCTGTGGTGGCAACCTGCAGGAAGCAGGTAGTTTCACTGATCCTTCCAGGAAACTATCCGACAACCAGATTTGCATGTGTTGCTGTGCCCAGTCCAACTACCATCCGAAGAAAATCCACAATAGAAAGTGATATTTATTCACAAAAAATCGGAATTGAATGAGATTGCTTAATGAGCGTTTAGCATCCACCAATCTCGGAATGAACCTGGAACCGCCTACAACCAAACATAAATAGTTGCTTCAGTATGGTAGTGAAGATTTCCCACATAACAGCTGGTTGAAGGATTTATTTCCAGATGTTTGGGGTTCCAGATTTTAATTTCGACATATTTGATAGGAACGCCCAGAAAAGAATACCAAAGCAACTTCTTTGGTTCCATTGTTTTTTTCTTTGATTGGACTTTATTCTACAGTTATGGTCATTTATTAGTTGTAACTGGTTCTAACTGGGATTATACATTCTATAAATGGGTTCTATAAATGGGTTTTGTTAGTATTTATAACTGGTATTTCGGGCCATAACTGTAGAATAAGTACTAACAAAACCCTTTTTAATATTTATAGAGTGTATAATCCCATAGAAATAACCAGTTATAAGATGTTATAATTAATAAATGACCATAACTGTCATCCCGTTTTTGGGGATCAAAAATAAAAAAACATTTTTTGAACTCCCAGCTCTCAGCACTGCCAAGCAACTCATTGTGGAAATCCACAGGCCTCGGAGTTCAGAATCTGCAGCTACGTCCATGTGGTGATCGCCCCGGGGTTTCAACTAACAGTTTGCTATTGAACATGGGCCAGGATGGGGCCCCGAAGATAGCGTTCAGTTGCCTAACTATGTGGCTTTATGGTAGATATAACTATAGTTAATAGGGGTTATAATAATAGTTTATAGACCCACTTATAACTGGGGGGCCCCATCCTGTGATATGACCAGTGGATTTACCCCTTGAAAATGGTGGATTGTTGCATAGCTATGTAAACGTTTGCCAGAGGGTAATGGTGATTATATGGTGATTGATTGGTTATAAATAGGTGTTTTTCATGGGTGAACCAAATTATGATATGTGGTGGTTTCCATACATGGGGGTCCCAAAAAGAATTGGTTTACAATGAAATATCCTATTGAAATTGATGATTTAGGGGTCCCCCATTTTAGGAAACCTCCAGGGAAAACACGCCAAGAGATGTGGAAAACCAGCCACTCGGAAAATAATCTACATTGCCATGGTGGGTTTTCCACGTCACAACTATGTACAAGGTGGTGCCCCACCAGTTCTAAGTTGGTTTATAAGCCCATTAACTATAGATGTATCACCTATAAACTATACTTATTGGACTTATAAATTAATTTTGCCAACTATGGGGCACCGCCTTGTAAACGTTTTTTTAGTGGAGGGTGATGACGATTGCTATGGTAAACCCAATGCCATGGTTACATCCCCAAATGGTCGGCTGTTGGGATGGTGATTGGGTGTACTGTGGAGAGGAACTACAAAGTACTGACTACTTGGGGGTTCATCCCACTTAATAAGTAGGTTATAACCTTGGTTATAAATGGGATGTTTGTAGGGTTAATCCACTTACAACTGGGGTGAACTAACCTAGTTACTAAGTGGGATGAACCACCAAGTACAGTACTATAGATGCATCATTTTCCAGCTACAGGGCTCATGAAAGTAGCACAGTTTCCACTTCGTCAGACTTCGTCAAAAGTGAAGAAAACCTTTTACTCCAACCCTGAGTGCTTTGAACCGAGAATATTAGCCGCATGAATATCCACAAAAGTAATCCACATAAATGAGTAACGCGCAAAGGTATGGTAGATTAATGATACTCTGCTGGAACAGGATTGACGCAGCAAATTTTGACTCTGTATGCACCTGTTTGTTTGCAATATCCATTTCTGGCTGGAATCCGTATTTTGTGGGCGCCAAAATATGTTTTTGGGGGCACAAAATTAGCTAAATCCTCGATTACTGTCAGGAACAACCACAATTTGCATTGGTGAAATCACATGGTTGTTCCCTTTTAATCACTTATCTTTGCTTTCCTCACATTTCCATATAATTTATTCAACCATTTACCACCCAACAAAAATAGTGGTAGATGGTGTTTCAACAGCCCTCCAATAATCCAAAAGACAAACAGCCTCAAAGAATCATTCAGAATAAATTCAGGCAACGTACTGACCAGCTCTGTGGGGCCCAAACCAATCTCAAAATATGAACTGGTCACGTCAACCAATCGTCCCGACTCTGGTTAAAATCCAATCAATGGAGGTTTCCGAAATCAGCTAGGGGTACCAAATCAGCCTGAAAAAAATGACCATATATTTTCACCAACCTGTGACAAGTCGGGAGAGGATCCCCCATTTTAAGAAAGCTCCATTTTTCATGGGTAAATCAACTTCACTAGCAATTTTCTATGGAAAATACCATTGTTAATGGATAAATCCACTATTTCAATAGCCATTTTCAACTTCGCGAACTGTTTTTCATCACCGGGTCCGGGTCGTTTTTCACCCCCCAACCTCCAACCTCCGGCCCCGAACGGTGCGCCGTGCAGGCCGTTCCCGTCGAAGTGCTTGTGTGGGATGTCTGTGGCCTCAATTTGTGAAGCAAAAAATTGCATTAAATTGGCTCATGGCATACTAAACATAGTTAATCTATGCAATCATAGTATGCCATGAGCCAATAGTTAATCATAGTTCATCATAGTTAATCATAGTATGCTCATATCTAGGCCCTAAATTGATCCATAACAAACATAGTTAATCAGTTAATCATAGTTACATGTATTTACTCTTATTTACTGCATCATAGTTAGTGCGTTCACAAGATTTTACGCCACAACTGAGGGTCAAGGTATATATGTACATGCATGTCACATATAAGCACCATGGCAATCATCCCCAAGAAGAGCTTCTGCAAGCATCCATTGGGAAAGCCCCTTCCAACTGACATGGAATCGTCAGTCATAAATCGAACCTCAAGTTACCAGGAAAAAATTAGAGTGTTTCCCAAGCATTGAAGTACATGTTTAAGGCATTTTTCATAAGTCACGTGAGGCTCAAGGTGTTTTTGATGTGAGTATGTGACTGGTTTTTTGAACCGTGCTTATGAAGCGGCACATATTTACCAGCAGTTTGAAGCGGCCGTTGGGCTTCCCTGACAGCAATCATCAGTTCCTCCCCAGGTTGCCAATCCACGACATCCTTCGAGTGCGAAGGATAGACAGCATATGACTGAGATATGTCCGATATCAAAACTGGGTGGTGGTATACCTACCCTATGTATATATATATATATATATATATGGTTAGTATGGTTTAATATGGTTTATGGTTTAATCCCATTGATTAGCATACTTAGCTACTTAGCTGGTTGGTGGTTTCAACCCTACCCCTCTGAAAAATATGAATTCGTCAGTTGGGATGATGACATTCCCAACTGAATGGAAAGTCATAAAATTCCATGGTTCCAAACCACCAATCAGTCAACAGTTATGGCCCTGAAGACCTGGATATTAACCAATGATTTGGCTTCATGCTTTGTCTCATGAGTGATACCTCACAAAAAAAAAATGGCGGCAAAATTATGACGATACACTGACCCATTCTTTGATCATTTCAAAGCAAACACATGAAACCATGGGATGACATGGAATTCAAGCATGTTAAGGGGGTCTCTGAGATGATCCTTGAGTCATTTCTTACACACCACAAACTGGGTCTTTGTGAAATTTATAGAATTTACAAAGGTGTTTATTATTGGTGTATTCTTAACAAGCTAATTCTTATGCCCCCCGGTTATGTTCGTTGGTTTATGGTCACCTATCTAACTATAGGTATACCACCAGTTTTCTGGGAATTTCAGACCCCTAAACTGGAGGTACTGTACCATATTTCAGGCCATATCTTGTGGGGGATATTCCCTTACATAGGGCCTTATACAGGGTAGGTACCTCCAGTCTAGGTCCCTGAAACGGCCATTACATATTTGATAAGTGGTAGATGTGTGGTAAACCCACTACCATAAACGATCCCCATTCAAGGCTTACTCTTGACTTGGGTATACCCTGATTTGAATACTCAGGTTCAGCACGTGACTACGCATACTTGGGGAACACACGTGCTTTAATGTGCATACAAACACAAGAGAGATGCTCTACTTGGGGGTGCATCCCACTTAGTAAATGGGTTATACCCCCAGTATCCCCCAGTTACATATGGACAATCCTCACTTATAATGGGAGCATATTGATATTTATGTATGGAGTACAAACAACTTAGAAAGTGGGATGCCCATCCAAGTATGTATGGTATATTTACCGGTAGTTTTGGGGTTGATAAATGTTCCATACCTGGAGCATATGGGTAAGATAAAAAAAAGTATGCTATCATTTTTTGAGTAGGAAATTATGTGTTCTGCTTATCTTTCTGGGGGTTCTTATGCATATGGCGGGAAAATAATTTGAATAATTATAAAAGGTGCTACTATATTTTGCTCCAGTAGTGTAGCTACTGTGCTCAGCTACGTAGCCAAAAAAAAGCTGCAGAGTTTTTCACACCAGGTTCACCAGGTCTCATTTCGTAACCTGATCAAAACATCCAAAGCTGGTTGGTGGTATACCTACCCCTCTGAAAAATGATGGAGCGAAAGTCAGTTGGGATTTGATGACATTCCCAACTGTTTCTGGAAAGTGAATCAAAATTCCATGGTTCCAAGCCACCAACCAGCTATAGTCTATAGATAGTCTATAGTCACTATAGTTGTTGTATTTTCAGGTTTCAGCTGGGTTATCACTATAATCCCCCATAGACTGATAAACCTACAAAGGTATTTGTGTCTACACGTCAGCTGGGATGATGGAGGAGTCTCCACCAGGAAGCCTTGGAGAAATTTTCAGAAAAGTCGAGCAGTTTTCAGCAGGGTTTCTCGGCCATGCACAAAAGGGCCATTGACCAGGCAAATGAGTGCGAGTTCCCTATGCTGTCCTCGAAGCTTTGAGAAATGTGGCCTGATTTTTCGATCACATTGGTGTTTCTTAGAGATGCCAAGTGTGACCCCACAATCCATCTAATCCATCCTTTCATGGTGTGGCCCAGTATTCCATTTGGTTTTGTCTGAAAAATCATAGGGTCCTGCCAAATTCTGATGCTTAACAACATCATGTTCATCCACTTTCCAACTGAAATCGTACAAATCTGCTATCAAAAATGATATGCCCATAGCCCAGTAAATTGCATCAACAGGGTTCGGAACCATTATTTATCTATATATATATATATTAATCCCATGGTCTCCCCACAATCCATGCTTGGTTGGGCGGCCCATGCCATCCTGAAGCACAATGACGGTGTCGTGTTTGTTGGCGGTTTCGGCCAAGCGTGTCCACACCTGCGATGGTGGAACAGTTTCAGAGGAACCAGTGCTGTTTATATGACTTTTGCAGTAAAGACATGGGTAAATGAACCATTTGATGATGATAATGGTTTAAATGAATCATTTGATGATGATAATGGTTTCAATGAACCTTATATATAATTAATCCAAATTGAACCATCAAACATTTGATGTTGATATAATTTGATGTATATATATATATATACACATAATGATCTAGTGGAGAGATGATATCTAACAACCAACACATATGAAATGGGTTTGTCCGAAGAGAGGGGAGGTCGCCTCCAATTTGTGCGAACATCAAAGGATTATGATTATTCTCCACCCCAAAAATAGCTTCTCCAATATGGTCTGACAGATCCACATACTTTTGCTGGTCAGTGGATATCCAATGTCTGGATTGATATTCATGGCAGTTTTTCATTAGTGCAGTGGTTATAACGGGAGTGTTGGTGGTTTCATCCCCTCTGAAAAATATATAAAAATATGAGTTCGTCACTTGGGATGATGAAATTCCCAACTGAATGGAAAGTCATAAAATTCCATGGTTCCAAACCACCAATCAGATATGTTCCAAGTTGCCAAACTTGCGAAACTTTTGTCAAAATCCGAGGCGCGATCCGTGGGAAACGATCCTTATGGATAGGACAGATGCCACATCCATGGACTAGTTTGCTGGTAAACGTTAACATAACGAAATGGAAAGATCCACCATTTCTTATGGGTAAATCCACTATAAATGGCCATTTTCAATAGCTATGTTTGCTGGAGAGTGTCGATGATTTGGCTCTAACATCGACCACCTCTAGCAGTCATGTCATCTACATGTCATCTACTTGGCTGGTGGTTTCAAATGTGTTTTATGTTCCGTCTCCGTTTCCGTCAAGAATTGGAATGGCATGTTATGGCCTCAAATTCCAACTATAAGTCAGTAGGTCACCCCATTTATGGTATTTAAATAACGGTATATAACTGGTATTTCGGGTTTCAAACCGTATATTTCGTTTTTTTTCACTGGTTTATAACTGGTTTTAAAAACAAAAGTGTGGTTTAAAACACATATATCACTGTAACTCCAATTTCACTATGGTTTATGGTAGATATATCTATACCTTCCTATGGTTTTTGTTACCCAACGTTCACATCACGTTTGGGGGGCACCACCGTCCGGTACTTCGTCGCACCTTGATCCGGGGCCTTCCGTGGATGTCCAGGGTACCGATCTGGGCGCCAAGGGACCCAAAAGGGTGCCGCGGGCCATCGACGTTGGTAAGTGGACAACAAACCACACATGACCATTTGCAACTCTTAATTGGGTATAGTATATATGTATAATATATATATATATAATTGTATACATTATATATATATATATATCTAAAAGTCCTAAGGCCGTACTTTGAGTCCTGGACTTCCAGGGTATACACATTTCATTGTATGTATATAATTATACATACGTGTTGTAGATCATGATATGGTTTGTGTGAGAATAAAGCATGGAATTGGTGCTTGAAGACGATCAAACATGGTGATTCAACTAGGAAAATATAGGAAGAATAGGGTTTACTAAGGTCTTATGTCACCGACCATGGGGGAGTGGTTGCTTGCATCCACATCATGGTTGTTGACTATTGGTATCCACAGTCAAACAAATGTTCAAATGATCAAAACGCAAACAAATTGTCATATGCATCCCACATTAAGCAGGAATCTCGCTGAGGTTCGCAAGCAAAGGTATGCAAAACAAATTGGAAAACATAGAATAAATCATGACAGAAGAATTTTCAGAATTTTGGAGATTTAGATCTAATATATTGTAATTAATGATGCACTTACTATATAGTATTATATAGTAATATCATTTTGTAGCAACGAAAATCTCACCAGAGAGTTCTCACACTCGAAGTTGCCAGGGTAAAGTACATCCATGTCTTGGTGAGTTACCCGGCCTGGTAAACGTTTACGTAACTGATGGGAAAGATTACCGCCATGCTATTTTCATGGGTAAATCACCATTTTTCATGGGTAAATCACCATTTTTCATGGGTAAATCACATTTTTTCATGGGTAAATCACAATTTTTCATGGGTAAATCACAATTTTTCATGGGTAAATCACCATTTTTCATGGGTAAATCACCATTTTTCATTGGTAAATCACCATTTTTCATAGGTAAATCACCATTTTTCATAGGAAAATCACCATTTTTCATGGGAAAAATCACAATTTTTCATGGGAAAATTACAATTTTTCATGGGTAAATCACCATTTTTAATGGGTAAGAACGGAACACCACCATTTGTCTATGGGTAAATCCACTATTTCGACTGGGCCATTTTCAATAGCAAACTGTAAACGTTTACCAGAGGTTACCAGGGTAGGTTCTGACAGATACCCTCTGGTAATGACTAACAGTTTACTATTGAAAATTGCCATTTCGTTCCTTGATTTACCCATGAATAGCATGGTGATTTTCCAGAGTTATGTAAACGTTTACTTGTGTTTTTTTGTCGCAACGATTCCCTGCGTGATCCCCAACCACCTCTGAATGTGTCCAGGGTCTAAACCAGTAAAACATACTATTCCCATGTTTTCTCCGTTATGCATGCTCATTGTTTGTGTCAGCCTCCATGCCCACTATTTACCCCAACAAAAAAACATACATAATTTCATCTAATCCCGATGTTTTTCCTTATATGATGTTAGGATTCCGACTAATTATACACCATCAACCAAGGGAATCCTCGCAACATCAGTTAGATATATGATATTAATGGTATTAATGATATTAATTATATTAATGATATATATTGATATGGTTGTTCCTTATTGATTCCAACACTAACCAACCTCCCAACCAACGTTAACCAACGTCCGGGCCCCCAGGGTCCCCGGACGTTGCCCTCCTCCACCGCGTTGTCCCCGAGTTCCCGGATGGTGAACTGCGTGTTGGACACCGCCAGGACTTTGCCGCCGATCACCGGACTCGGTGAAGGTGCTGAGATGTGCTGAGTTAACAGAGCTGGGATTTTTTTAAAGCAACAAACTGAGGGGGGCTTAGGGTTTCACTGGTTTCACTGTTTCAACTCAGTTTTTTTAGGGCTAATGCATTTGGAACATCATTGGATTTTTAAGCAAAACAATAGATCATCTAACCAGGAAATCTGTGGATTGAACAAAAAAAAGTGGAAACTAAACAAGAACAGTGCTGAGTTCCCCTGGCGAATGATGCTTGGAACCAAGATTTTTCGGATGGGCCCCTACGTATTGATAGACAAATTAATATGATTAATTTGGAGAATCTAATATCATTCCTTCAAGCCATTGCGGCTACCATGTCGGGCCCCCTCAATTACAAGTTGTTTTATAAACCCCGTGAATACATCTTTGTTATAAGATGTCAGAAGTATCATAGACCGTACCCTCTGGTAAACTAACATAACTATGGGAAATCACCATGTTTCATGGGTAAATGAACTATAAATTATGGCAATTTTCATTAGCTTTTTGTATGTTTACCAGAGGGTACAGTAGTGAAACCATTTTCCCTTAAGCCAGTCCATTGAATTGGAGTTCAAACTGCCCCAACTCCTTGGGCTTTGGCCATCCTTCTGGGGGCCCCGGCAGTCGAATGGTCGAGTACTTCTGGCCGTGCAAGGTGATCAAAGCCTGGGAAGCGCCCAGTACCACTGTGCCTTTTATAGGTCCAGCAGTCAAAATATCATGGTACTAATAGTCATGATAACAAGAGCAATAAGAATAGTAATAGTAATAACATATTGTTCATAATAAAATAATAGTAATAAGAATAGTAGTAACAATAGTAATAGTAATGATATATAATACAATAATGGCAGAACTGTTAATAATAATACTAAACAGTATAACTAATATAAGGAGTAATAATAATCAAGTACACTTTGACTGGGTAAACATCAAAGTAACGGTCAATGATTGGTAATGATCGGTTAGTTACTATAGCAGTAGTACCAATATATTTACTATTACCAAATACATCCAAATACCTGCTATACTCATTTTTTGTTATAAACATAATTATTTCAATTGTTGCCATGTAGTATACTAGTAGTATCAGCCGTTTTTCACCAACACTTTCAAATAGTAGATGACTGGTAGTAGAAAATATCGTAGCAATAATTATATAATCGTAGAAATCACCGACAAAATCAGGAACCTCCAAAAAGAGACTGGAACCTGTTTCCAGGATGTGAATTAGATGAGGCTGGTACCAATCATATCTCTAGGCTTCTCCGTTTTTTCATGTTTTTGTCCATTTTCTTGGGGGGGTGCTATATGGCGTAAATGGATGTAAATGGATAAACTTGAAGAAATCCACGATTCTTAAGGAACAGAACTCTTCAAGCCGGGCTTTGAGTGATTCACCGGTTACGATCCGGGGGGTCATACTCTGGTGGCACCACACAAAGTGAGGCCCTCGTTTAATTAGGGTTTATGGGAGTTAATGGGTTTATGTCACCTTGTATGAAGATCCATCACTCTGAATTAACTACAGTAGGTCCAAATTCAAGAACTGCCGACCTACTCTTTCACCTTTGAAACATAGCAAAGGTAGTGCTTCACATCATTGATCATGGAAGCTAGCCAGCATATGCATCTATAGCCAAAAAAACTGAAGTATCTACTAAACTAGACTCTACGAGTTAGCTTACCCAATACCAGTACTACCAGATATATCAATCAATTTGCTGCAGAATAATAGGTAATTATTTAGCATTTTTTAACTACCCGGCCGACCCAGGAATGAGTTCCCAACGCGATGGAGGAAAGGTTTCTGCTCCGTGCCAATCTCCATAGTTCCACCCTACGTGAGGCATCCGATTGTCCAAACTGACTGATGTGCTTACTTGGATGGTCTTGAAACAACTTGATGTTTATGACTGGATCATCAAAATGAACGGATATGGATCAAAAGTTCATAAATCCAGAAAAACGGCCGTCTTTGCTGTGCGTTTTGTTTCGAACGATGATCAACCAAACGTCTGCGGCCTAATTTTCACATTACCAAAATTGCAGTGGTTTCTTCAGAGGACCAACAGCACCTTGACCCAGATGTAGGTCGCTTGCAGATGGATGTCTTTGTTGTCAAAGACCAGTACACCTGGCGGTTTTCGTTCAGCGCGTGGCAAAAAAAAGGTGATATCAGTTCGTCCAAAAATGGGGAAACCCAAATGAAGACCGTGATCAAACCCTTGCGATAGGGTAGCAATCTTAAAATTGTTGGCTAGGGAGAAGCCATGTGTCCAACCATCGGAATCGTACCTTCCTCATCTTTCCTTCTCTATTACACCCTATGGATCCATGGCTGTTTGAGAAGGTAAGCCCCCCCTAGTCATCATACCCCAGTCGTACTTCCTGAGAAGGTACTTGGCTGGATCCATAGGGATCCATAGGGACAGGAATCGTACCTTCCTTCCAAACGAAACCATGATTTTATATCCCATAGGATCCATGTATGCTATATATGGTAACATGGATCCCATCAATATACCCCAGTCATGTTAGGATATATACCAGCACCATGGATCCTATGGATCTATTGGAATGCACCGAGGATCTATTCATGTAGGATCCTTAAGCGGATATTCAACATTCATTGGGGGGAAACGCTTAGACTTCGACTGTTCGTCTTGGAATCGGCAGCCTCTGCTCCTCTTGGGATGGTTTCATGCTAAACATGGGTCAAAACTTGGAGCCTAACAAACCAGAAAACTTTTGGAGTGAAGAATCTCTATGTTTGCAAGCGATTTTCATGTGAAAAGCAGGGCCCAACATCTCCAAAGACGTCCAAAAACGATGATTCACCAGACTGAGCTGAGCCCCAAGGGCTAGGACCTACAATAAGAACTGTTCTTTGATGAGCTCCAGGCACCACGTACCCGTGGAGTCGTTGCGATCCCACTCAACATGCCCGGTCCTCTTGGAACCAAGGCAAAAAACGAATTGAATCTGCATGACGCAACTTCGAAGGCCCAATCGTGGTGTCCTGTAGGATTCCAATGGCCCAACAGACGTGGTATGTGTCAACTGAACATGGACGATTTCCTCAATTCCAAGAGCTGGGGCTGCACGGATGGGATCTGATGTCAAATCCTCGGGCGTATATTCATGACTCTGAGGATCTTATTCCAGCCGAAGATCCGTCAGTTTGTCTGTTGAAGCAACGCTTCCCATCTGTGTTTTGCATCCGCTCCCTGTTCCACTGCAAGAGCGATAGTTTCACGCTTGTCTCCTCCTCCTCGGCCTTCCGCCGGGCTACAGAGGTCGCGGCTTTGCCTTGGCTTCCAACAAGCCAGTGGGAGAACTCTCCAAAGGCACCTTACATCCTAAATTTGAGATTTGCAAAATGTTCGCTAATATTTTCTGATGGGTCAAGGTGATTGGTGCAATTTCGATGCTACTTTGTTTTGGATGGAAATTAATGCCCATTCTAACTTCAGTTTTTTGCATATCAAATCTTCAGTGGTACAGCCCTTTTTCAACCCAGCGTGGAGCCCTTTCCAATGGCTTTGATTTTCGGGGTGTCCAGGGTGTGTCGGTGATATGTGGGGCCATTTGTCTGACAGGTTTCCGACGGTGTACAACCTTTAATATTCCCGAATGCGTAGCAAGGGTTCCCGTTTCACTCTGGGGGTCTGGGGGTTGAGGGTGTGTTCGCTCGACGTTGCGTTCACGATCGCAACCGTTCGCAACCGTTCGCAACCGTTCGCAACCGTCCGCAACCGTCCGCAACCGTTCGCGCGATCCCCGTATGGCCATGCCTATGGGAAGTTTTGCAGAGGTGGTCCTTTTTGGGGGTTGCAGACGTGTCGTTGCTTCGTTTCGCGTGGCAGGCGTGGCACTTCGTGACATTCAGACGTGTTCTGGAACGTGTCGAAAGTCGTTTTGCGTGGCAGGCGCAATACTTTTGTGACGTTGTCAGAAGATGTGTTGCAGTTTTCGTGGCAGGCGCAGCACTTTAGACGTGTCCATCGTCATTTTTCGTGGCAGGCGCAGCACTTTAGACGTGTCCTGTTGCGTGTTTTTTTGCAAATCGCATTGGCAGGGCTGCGTCAAGTGGTGACAAGGTGCAAATTCCGTGGCAGACGTGGCATTTTCTGACATGTGCTGAAAATTGCGCCTCGCACGAAACATCGATTTTGAGGTTGCAAATTTTCAGGTTCCAAGGAAAACTCGTAGGAAAACGTCGATTTTGAAGCTGCAAAGTGCCAAAGTAGAAGGATGTCTCGTACGAAATGCTCGTTTTGGTGCACAAGACGTGTCTCATCTCGAGTCTCTGGTTTTCCCGTGGCTTCGCCGTGTCTATGGGGGAAGCTGCAAAACCTGTCCTTTTGTTATGTTGCCAATTGTGAAAATCGCCGGAAGTCTCGCATGAAATGATCGTTTTGGTGCTCCCACGTGTCTCCTCTCGAGTCTCTGGTTTTCCTGTGGCTTCGCCGTGTCAATGGGGGGAGCCGCAAAACCTGTCCTTTTCGAAGGTTTCCAAGGAAGTTGTCATGTCGTTTTGCGTGGCAGGCGTGGCACTTTGTGACATTCCAACCTGTTTGATGATGTGTCAAAAATGTCAAAATTGGAGGAGGTCTCGTACGAAATGGTTGTTTTTCTGCATCCACGTGTCTTGTCTCGAGTCGCTGGTTTTCCTGTGGCGTCGCCGTGTCTATGGGGGAAGCTGGAAAACATGTCCTTTTCGAATGTTTCCAAGCAGGTTGTCCTGTCGTTTTGCGTGGCAGGCGTGGCACTTTGTGACATTCCAACCTGTTTGATAACGTGTGGAAAATATCAATATTGGAGGAAGTCTCGCACGAAATGCTCGTTTTTTTGCACCCACGTGTCTTATCTCGAGTCGCTGGTTTTCCAGTGGCGTCGCCGTGTCTATGGGGGAAGCTCTGCACTCCACACTCTACACTTTACACTCCACACTCCACAATTTACACTTTAGACTCCACACTCTACACTTTGCACTCCACGCTTTACACTTTGCACTTTACACTCCACACTTTACACTCTACACTTTACACTCAACACTCCACACTTTACACTACACACTCCTTACTTTACACTCCACACTTCACACTCCACACTTTCCACTTTCCACTCCACACTCCACACTTTACACTCCACACTCCACACTTTACACTCCTCACTCCACACTTTACAATCGTCACTTTACACTCTACACTCCACACTCTACATTTTACACTCTACACTTTACACTCTACACTCCACACTCCACACTCTACACTTTCCACTCTACACTCCGCACTTCACATTTTACACTCCACACTCCACTCTTCACACTACACTCTACACTTTCCACTCCACATTTCGCACTCCACACTTTACACTCCTCACTCCACACTTTACACTCCACACTCTACACTCCACACTCCCCACTTTACACTCCACACTCCACACTCTACACTTTCCACTCCACACTCCACACTTTACTGTACACTCCACACTCCACACTTTATACTTTACACTCCTCACTCCACACTCCACACTTTACACTCCTCACTTTACACTCCACACTCTACACACCACACTCTACACTTTCCACTCCAGACTCCACACTCTACACTTTACGCTCCACACTCCACACTTTACACTTCACACTTTACACTCCACACTCCACACTTCACACTCCTCACTCCACACTTTACACTCCACACTCCACACTTTACACTCCTCACTCCACACTTTACACTTTACACTCCACACTCCACACTTTACACTCCACACTTCATACTCCACACTTTCCACTCCACACTCCACACTTTACACTCCACACTCCACACTTTACACTCTTCATTCCACACTTTACACTCCACACTTTACACTCCACACTTTACACTCCACACTTTACACCCCACACTCCACACTCTACACTTTACACTCTACACTATACACTCCACACTCCACACTTTACACTTTACACTCCACGCTTTACACTTCACACTTTACACTCCACACTTTACACTCCATACTCCACACTCTACACTTTACACTCCGCATTCTACACTTCACACACTCTACACTCCCCACTCCACACTGTACACTCCACACTCCTTACTTCACACTCCACACTCCACACTCTACACTTTCCACTCCACACTGCAGACTGGTAAGAAGGGAAACATGTACAAGACTGTTCAAATAAACTATTGCAGAAAGGTATTGTGCGTGACTGCATAACCATGTGTTTTGACCTCTGTACCATTAACATACGTGTGAGCATTCGGGTTCGTGGGCTTCATCTTGTACCATTTTTGCAGGGATGAACATCCATTTGCCGGCATGTTTGGTGCGAACTAGGGGCTTTGATCCATAGCCGAATGGGTTGTTTGAAACCAGGATGCCCCAAAATTTTATGGATGATCACAATTTCACCTCCGGACCAATTTCTGGACACACGCCACAGCATTTCTGTTGATGTTCCCGATCTTCAGGCTTGGGACTGCGATTTTGCTAGCGGTGGAATTAGACGCAATGAAATCCACCTTTACTTGAAATAGCCACAGTGAATCTTCCCTGCATACATAAAGATTCAGAGACCTTTTGAAATTTAGTCAGCCAGTTCAGTTGTTTTGTAATTCATTGTGCAGTGTATCGAAGGAAGGAAATGTAGACAGGAAACCTACTCGGTGGGAAAACATCCGTGCTTGGCTGGTAAATTCATATGGTGGGGGGTTGATGTGGGGGCCCAAGACCGTGCAAAATGGCAGGTACCATTGACCTGACCGCCCCCCAGCTTAGTTGCCTTTAGCTGCTAAAAGCCCTCAGGAGCACCACCAGTGCATTCAAGGGCTGAGATGAGCAAGTTGTGAGATGAATCCGTGCCCCTTGTGTGCTAAGAGCACTGAAGAGCGAGTAAGAGTCATCATCAAAGGTATAAGAAGTGATACGGAAAATGTTCAAAAGATTATGATGGTTTTAAGAGCCGCTATAGAGGATCATGAGGCCTTCTGAGTCCCTTAAGATACTTATTTGACCGACCTCCCCTACCGCCATTTTGATACGGAAAATGATGAGAATCCGTGGGAAATGGAGGTACCCTATGTTCAGACTAACATAGACAAACCGTGACAAACCCATATATATATATATAATCATACTGACAAGTTATAGGGGTTATATCCGAACTTGCAGGGGTAAAATCCCACATGTGCCACACATCTCCCACAGACCGCACCTTCCACTGTCAGAATCAACAAGACTGGTGTGTCCTCATCCTTGGTCATCGCGGGGGCTGCTCCTATATCGCATGGAAAGCACAAAATGATGGGATGCTTTTCGTTGGTTTTGTACCCTTTGCATCCCTTTGCGGATGATGATTTACCTTTCAACCAACAGTTCAGACTCCTGGACGCCAATATGCTTCAAAGTCGTGAAATCAGCCGGGCTTCGATGCGGGTTCAAAACAAAGAACTGGGGCGATTATGAGCAGAATCTACTCCTGCTTGTTGTGAATGCTTTGACCGCAATGCAATTCCTCCAATTTCTTCCCCGGTACTTTGCAAAAAAAGGGGTGAAACATGTTCTTCCCATGTCTTGTGAACTTCGCATTTCCTCCTTTTTTGTCGTCCATCTTGGCTTTGCGCGGTTCAAAACATCAAGGATATCAAGGGGAAGTTTGAAGTTCATGGGACCTCTTGGCCCTTGGAAAAAAACATGATTGTACCCAAGAACCTGACCCCAAATGGAACTGAACCACGCTTAAGCTGAACATTAAGTTCCCCCGGCATCTGTGGTGAGTTGCGATGATACTCCCTCAATACCATGAAGCAGAGAACTTCGCAGTAACCTCATGAGAGAGAGAGAGAGATACATATATATATATATATATGCTGATTTAAAATCCCTGTTTCACAAAACCAGCATAGGCTAACCCCACAGAAGATCCAACGTCTCAAGCGATCCGAAATCTGGGTCTGGGCACCAACAGGATCGCTTGACCCTGTGGAATGGAGACCAAGGCATCTTCAATTGGTGGTTCCTGTCATCAAGAGCGCTGTAGTGGTTGGTGGTTTCAACCCCTCTGAAAAATATTCGTCAAATGGGAGTATTATACCCAATATATGGAAAAATAAAAAATGTTTGAAACCACCAACCAGTGTAGTGGTGTCTTATTGAGAGCCTGGAACGTAAAACAATCAACGTGATCCTTGAACCAACCATTTTGTGGTGCAATGTGCGCAAATGTTATATGAAGGGGATACTGTACAAAACCAACACTATGACACTATGAAGTTTGGGTGGGGCCATGATAAGAATATAGCATAATATAGCCATATAAAATAACGGGTATAGAGAAACAAGCAACACTTTGTGTGAAGAAGGGGGGAAGTAACAGTGAAGCTTGGATAATACAGTAATACAGTCAGTAGCGACATAAAACCAACAAGTAACAAACACAGGGCAACAAACCACCATTCAAGCTATAGCAGCTATTGACACACCCAAACCACACCATTCAAAGAGTGGCACTTGTCTAGTCTAGTCTACTAGTGAAGCTACACGCACGGAGGTTGGCCGGTTAGTCAACTATTGCCAGAGGCTTGCATGTGAACCCTGTACAAAAGTTGCAGCATCCATCTGGAATGTGAGTGCATGTTTTGGTTCATAGAAAGGGCATTGCATCTCCAGTTTCGCATCCATTTGTGGAAGGCCAAAAGCTCTGAACAAACATGGTGTGCGAAGCAATTTCCTTCCGAAATACTGTTTTTCTGCTGTTCAGAATCTGTGTAATAAGATCATCATGTCAGAAAACAGCATTTGTCAACATCACCAGCTCAATGTTCATATGAGCAGTGTTCAAAACCCGGAACGTCGTACCTCTATACTTTATACTGGCTAATTGAGAACAGATTTCCCATTATGGGGTATGATATATTAGATAACCCCGATTATATTGGGTAGTGTGACAACCCGAAAAAAAAAAAAAACATAAAATCAACCAACTGTGATTTTGAACAAAGCTCATTTATTCCTGAAAATCACACATAGTTGTTCATAACTTCTGCAGAAACAAGCATCTGATTTCCGGAAAAAAAAAAACACAAGCAAACATGGCGATTGCCTGAAAAGCCCCTTTTACTATAATGTGCCCCCCCCCTGGATATCGAACTTGGTCTATAGCTCCAATAACTCTGGTTTGATACTTGTAACTGTAAAGTACTGGTGTTTAAACGACTTTATACCCCAACTTATAACTGTAGATATTCTGGTTGGTGGTTTCAACCCCTCTGAACAATATTAGTCAGTTGGGATGATTATTCCCAATATATTGAAAAATACAAAATGTTCCAAGCCACCAACCAGACTTTCTTCTCATGGCTTGGGGGGTCTAACTGCTTGTTTCATATTGTTGAACAAACAGGCAAGGATTATATATGTTTCAATGGGAAGGATTATCCCAATATATGGAAAATAAAAAATGTTTGAAACCACCAAACAGGATATATCGAATCTACCATAAACCATAGAATTCACCAAGAATTCACCAACTTCGCTGCCCTTCGCCTGGTTGGCCCAGGTATCCAGCAAGGACCAGCGGTCCAGGTATCGGTATCCTGACTGCGCTGCGGGAGGCAGCGCAACGAAAAAGGGAGAAAATCAGCAGCAAAAAATGGTGCTTTCACCTGATTTAGCCGATTAAAACTGGAATTTAACCAACTAAATGGGAATTTCAGCAATGAGACTTGATCAACAAAAATGGGAATGAACGCAAACATGAGGATTTAAGTAGTACGCAACCATAAAGTGGGCGATCTACCAACAATGAATGGAAACATAGAGGAATATGTATATATATATATGTTCTGGATGGAATATGGGAATGCAACCAAAGTTGGGACTTTGGCAACATTTTGCAACAATGTTGCACACATACGTCCGATCAAACAGGAATAAATTCATCCAACTAAAATTGGAAGATGGTTTGATGCACAACACTCAAACATGTGGTGTGGCGTTGGACAACACTGAGCCACACGACACACGTCCTTGTGCTGACCGGCAATGGACAGGTTCCCCAAATTGCAAAGGAACACAGAGATGGAAACACCATACAGAAGACACAACAAAATGATCTGAATGTCAGGCGGACTTTCAGGGAAACTCAATACCCATGCGTGTCATTGTTTGTTAACTGGAGACATCATGACAGGGGTGCCAAGAAACATGCTGCTATGAGTCAGTTATGTAAGACTTCAACTGCAGGCTCATCCCACAACATGGCACACATAGTACACATGGGTGTGTCTGAACATGGGCTATACCAAAACACGACGATTTCTCTGTTTGCTGCCTTCACACAAGCCTACATGGGTAGCAAGCCTACAGGGGTGGTAAGTTCCGAGGTTGAACCCGTTCCAAGTTACTTGTGATCCAATTGCATGAGCTGAAAATAGTCGACCTTGGTGATGTCAAAGCCCGCGTCGAACGTGTACATCTTGCGGATCATCGACGCCATTCCACCCTCCTGGACAAGGAAATTTCTGTGGCCTTGGATGGCTCGGATGCGCACAGGAGTCCAGCGCAGTGTGCCATAAGACATCCCACTGACTTGCACCCTGAATTGCCGCATTGGTGAGTTCTTGACCACCATGAGGACTTCCTGCCCCCGGAGGTGTGGGAAATCGCCCTGAAGGTGACGTACCAAGGCTTTGAAATCCATGGAGAGGTCAGACCTTCTGATTTCCGGGGACGGCCGGTCGTTCCAAATCAAGTTGGACATGTTGATTCTATCCAGTCATTAAACAAATGTTTCTGAAATATCACTTGGGCACCATATAAAACTACAGATTTACACATGCATGAGTTATATGCATACATACGAGTACAAGGAAAGATGTGTTCATTTAAAGGTTTGCACACATCAACATCTGTAAATACAGACGTTCGACGGTTTCATTCACAAACTTGAAATAAACGTAGAGAAAACACATGACAACTATAGAAAGTATTCGTCATATCAATTAAATATGTTTCAGCATCCCAGTCAGTACCCTCGAGGAATTTGACATGGTACTGGGGGGGGCCAAAACATTATGTTTCTTGTTTTTTAAAGCCCATCTAACTACTTCGATATATTATCATGATATATATACCCAACTGTTATATATATATATACACCCAACTGTTATATATATATACATATATGTATATATATACCCAACTGTTATACATATATATATATATACCCAACTGTTATATATATATATATACACCCAACTGTTAGATATATATATATACCCAACTGGTGTATATATATATATATATATATATACCCAACTGTTAGATATATATATACACCCAACTGTTAGAGATATGATATATATATATACCAAACTGTTAGATAGATATATATATATATATACACCCAACTGTTAGATAGATATATATATATAATTATATATATACACCCAACTGTTAGATATATATATACATATACACCCAACTGTTAGAGATATGATATATATATATACCCAACTGTTAGATATATATATATATATATACACCCAACTGTTAGATAGATATATATATAATTATATATATACACCCAACTGTTAGATATATATATATATATATATATCCATCTGTCAGAAATATATAGTTATACATATATATATATGGGTTATCCCACCATCTAACTACTTCTAAGTTAACGATATATCCCTTTTTTTTGCCCAACAGTTGACCTAGGCTTCACTTTTTTCGTCAACTTGGCTGGTGATCCAAGCCACGTGTACCAGGCTTGATCCATGCGTTTCCAGCACCTGAAGTAACGGTGGGACCCACCCCACGGCTTTTCGCGGCTTTCGATACTCGGTGAACGGTACAAGTCAGCGGGGTAGTAGTATTGAATACCATTCCCTATGGATCCAGTTCCATTTCCAATGGTCAACTATCCATTTCCAATTCGAACTATCCAAGTATCTATGGCTCCAAGTACCTTCTCAGGAAGTACGACTGGGGTATGATGACTAGGGGGTATGATGTACCTTCTCAGACAGTGGCCATGGATCCATAGGGATTAAATACCAGTGAGTATTAGCTAATATTGGTAGTTTGGATAGTGAGTTAATGTGGTAGATCCATGTAAATCCATCTAAGCACCAAAAAGCAGACTCACATCTAGCTGTGCATGGCTATGTTTTCTTTTAATGCACGATCCAACTTCTTTGGACAGGACCGCGGTGAGTGAAACACCATGTGATTTTAGGGATCAATTCATTGCATGCCGGGCAATGCACCTGGGTTTTCGAAAATCTCATGCTGAATGATCATCTTGAAAAATAACCTAAAATAAGGTACCAATGATCATCTTAAAATAGCAAAACGTTAAACGTTAATCTGATTTCGGAGTATAGTATTTTGGCTAGACTATGGTACCCACTGGTAAACGTTAACAGTTTGCTATTGAACATGGCCCAGTCGAAATAGTGGATTTTCCCATTAAAAAATGGTGAATCTTTCAATAATTATATAAACGTTTACCAGAGGGTATACTGCAGTTTCAGTGAGACAAACCATGGTCCAATCCCCTGGCACCTGGCCATTCTATGCCATTCTGGCCTATAAAAAACTGTCAACTGTCCCAGTCCAATGGTCAACTATCCATGTCCAATTCGAACTATCCAAGTATCTATGGATCCAAGTACCTTCTCAGGAAGTACGACTGGGGTATGATGACTAGGGGGTATGATGTACCTTCTCAGACAGTGGCCATGGATCCATAGGGCAACTATCTATTTCCATCCTCGGTTCTCACAAACATGGTGAGAAACGGGGGTTCGATCCACAGATACTTTGTTACCCTCTGGTAATGACGAACAGTTTGCGAACTGGAACATGGCGTCTTTATACAGTAGTTGATTTACCCACTCAGAATGGTGATTTTCCATAGTTCTGTAAACGTTTACCAGAGGGAATCTGTTGCGGGACCAGTTTCTGTTGAGAAAACCCTCTTGAGCTTAACACCAGCACCACGGGAGCTGCAAAATTTCCCATTGAGGAAATAAGAATACCACTTCCCCATCATCTAAAAACAACAATTCATCATCATGATTAACTATGATGTTGAATGCGTTTTTTTTTTAATATTACTATTATGTATATATATATATATGATTCCCATACTCCCACAATGGTTGATGTTTGTCGTTATGATTTCCCATTAAGGTTTACTAGTCATTACAAGGTGAGGCCCCCAAGTTCTGTGCGTCAACTTAGCGATTTCGTCAACGGGGGCCTCACCCTTGCACCATGGGGGTAAACTAAAGATGTGGAAAATCAAACATTTCTAAATCATGTTCCTAGGAAAACCATGGGTTTTCCACATCTTAGTTTACCCTACAGGCTGGTGCCCCCAAACGTGATGTGAACGTGTGTTTATAAACCCAATGAATACTAGTGCGATATATCTACCATAAACCATAGTCAAACATAGTCAAACATAGTCAAACCACTAACATAAGGCAACTTAGCTAACTATTTGGTCCCACCTTTATAGGGTAACCGTTCTCACTCCAGCTCCGCCCAGAGCCGCCGCCTTCCACTGTGACGGTCATGCTGGGGGGCTTGATGCCGTCGCTACGCGGCACGGTGACCTGGGAAGGGGCACCAGGTCGTGAACGCTAAGTAGGTGGGGTTATAAATTCAATTTCACTATGGTTTACAGGTGATATATCTATATATATATATATATAGAATCTATATATTACTATATATATATAAAGAATCTTCTGGCAAATGTTTAATGGGATTATAACCAATTTTTAACTCAGGGGGCACGACCTTGTAGAATATATAGATGGGGTTATAAACCAACCAAGATACCGTTTGGGGCCCCCGTCCTGTATGAAGTGGTTAATAACAATAGTAGGTCTCCATTCAGTGGGGTTGTCCAATAATTGCGTAATTTGATTGTAAATATGGTTACTAACCACTGAATGGGATGATTCTCCAGGCAGGTACTGACCCATTCCCAAGTCATACATGTATTGACCCCTTGCCACAAACAACTAGTATGTTACTTTATATTACATTGTATATATAATATTATATGACTTCTGTATGACTTGAATAACTTATATAATTATATATATAAAGTGGTTCACAACAAACAATGCAGTGTGTACCTTCTGACAGAACACACATGACCATTTTGAATTGACAACGTGTAGATATGTGTAGTAGGTATTGGCTATCCTCAAACACCCGGCCCTAGAATGTACCCAGAAAAAACGGGCACAAGCAGCAAGACTATCTGCACATCAGGGTAGCCAGGGCTGAGGTAGATAGAAAAGGTGTCCCCTACCATTTGCAATGGTTTTTACTGTTCCCTTTATTTGAGGGCCACTTTAGGTGCAATTGTTTGGGCTACAACCAAATGATTATCACTTTCAAACCTGCTTCTTCTGGTGGTTCTATCTCCAAATAAATTACGAGTACCACAAAATCACCCAAAACTGCTCAAATCTGATGGAATGGCTGACTGCCATGAGACCTCATGGATTATTCCAATATGTTTTGAGACTGCCCGAGAAAGCATACCTAAAATTCCTAAAAACGACCGTAGAGGACACCCTTTTTTCGCGGTTGGGAACAATCGTGGAGGAAACACGTGTTGCAAACATTCAGATGGAAGAAACGATCATTGAGCAGTGTTCAAAACTTCTGTTGGATCATCCACAATTTTTGTTGGGTACCCTCTGGTAAAGGTTAACAAAAAGTTATTGAAAATGGCCCAGTCGAAATACTTGATTTACCCATGAAAATCGCATGGGGGTAATCTTTCCAGTTCTATGTAAACGCCCGTTTACCAGAGGGTAGTACAGTAGTACCCCATAAAAAAATCATCAACACTGCGGAATTTTTCGACAATTTAGGGGGTTTCTTTGAAATTCGAATCCAGGATACCCGCCAATCCACTGGACCACCGAGATCAGGAGGGGTTCCTTACATGACTTTTTTCGGAAAACGGGTAGACGACCGCGGTACTAAACGTTGACAATAACAGAAAACTAAGAAATAAGAAGCGATAAGAAGCAATATTTAGGGACCCGACCGGAAGCATTTCGTCTCAGGTTGGAGTGATATTAATTAATAGGGATTCTCCGTTCATGGATTCTGATATACCCTAATATAGTAGTTAGTATAATCCCCAAACTAATCACAGCACCAAGCATCATTTAATTTATTGGTTCTATATCCACCCAACAATCTCCATATTTCGATAGTTAAAATCCATACCCTATGGATCCAAACACTGTGTGAGAATGTACTTAGTACTCAAGCCCATAAATCATGCCACAAGTACTTCCTGAGAAGGTACTTGGATCCATAGGGATATAGAATCAAGAACTAGCCATCAACCAACCGGGGTGTCTATCGCAGCTGCTGTGAATCAGACGCAAATCACGCTGCTTGCGGTCACCTGAACGTTGCGGAAGGACGTTTCTCGAAAGCGGAACTGTTCTTCTCTTAGCAATCCCCAAGAAAGAAGAAGTAACAGTATATACCTTTGGTTTATGTGATATATCGAACTAGTTAATGCGATTATAACCCATTTATAACTGGGGGGCACCATCTTGTACTTAAAAGTAGTGGTAAACCACTTTTCGACTTTTTTTTGGGGGGTTGCTTTTATGTTAAGCCCCGATTGAAATCGAGTTTGTTGGCTACCTCTGAAACCTGCCTGATTTGGACTCTCCATCGTGTGGCATGCCCAGTTTAACTGTCTTTTCCAAAAGGAAACACCAATGAAAACTACAACGGTGAGGCGCCCTTCGAAAGCTAAGTTGACGATGTCACGTAACGTGGCTAGCTGAGGTTTGTCGCGGATATAACATGATGTAACTACAATTACTGGGTTTAATTTGTATAACTGGGGCCTTCAGCTTGTATATATTGGGAATGAAACTAAGCTACTTGGAAATGGATTCGTTCCCAAACGCGAGAATAACTCAAACAGTTGTAATTGACAGAAAATTTGGTGGCAAACCATGGGCTGAAACCCCCCAGCGCCTGCTGCACTTCGCAGCTGTATCCATTGAAGTCCACGGTCACGGGCGTGGTTGCCTCAGACGAGGCAACCACGAAGTTCAAGGGACAAAAACGGATCTGACACGGGCTCTAAAGATACATCAATATACATCAATAACATACCATCTGGCTATTTAACGTAGCGAAGTGGCAAATCACTGGTCTTAAAATGGCAAATCATCATAGATCATCTACAAAATGGGTTATTTTCCACAGCTATGTTGTATAACCAGATGGTGTTAGATTAGCATCACTAGTTTCATATCTAGTCATTCAGCAATCTCATCTTATTATATCATTTATCTTGGTAAATAATAATAATAATTCACCAAACTAAATTAAAACTATATTTTGGAATAGTTACACTAACCACTATTTTCTCGTGAGGTCGCAGTGAGGTCGTTATAATTTATTATCACTTATCTATCCATATTATTAAAATGTTTGGAGTCTTAACCTAGGGCCACCCATGAGAGGGCCAACATTCCTTTCTTTTTCGTGGCAGAATCGCCCACTTACCAAGCAAACGCAGGGTTTACCCTCTATGTCCAGAGGCTGTTAGATTCTCATTGTAGTTGTTTATTGTTTAGATCAATTAGATCATCAGATCCCAACGTTTCTTAAGCGTAGTTTACCTATGTTTCTTCATGACATCGCTATTTTTGTTGGTTACCCTCTGGTAATCGTTTACATAACGAACTGGAACATCACCATGCTATTCATGAGAAAACTCACTATTTCTATGGCCATGTTCAATAGCTTTTTGTTAACGTTTACCAGGGGGTAAATCCACCACTTTTAGCAGCTTCAGCCAGCAACATTTTTTCAGCCAGCTTTCGCCCGGATTGCGAGGCCCGGACGTTCTCCTCCATGGGGTCCGCCTGGGTCGTGGCTTGAAGCTGGCTCGGCCAAGCGGCCAAGGAATCGGGCTTTGGAGTAAGGGAATTTCTACCAAGACTTCAGGTACCATCTGGTTATTTAAATAACATAGCCATGGAAAATCACAATTTTTAATAGGTGAACCAACTATAAATGGGCCATCTATACCATGGCTATATTAAATAACCAGAGGGTAAGTGAAAATATATATATAATGACTTACCCAGGTATATATATATATATATACCCTATGGATCCAAACACTGTCTGAGAAGGTACAAGACACCCCCTAGTCATCATACCCCAGTCGTACTTCCTGAGAAGGTACGGCTGGATCCATAGGGATAGTATACTTGGAGGATCATCCCGCTTAGTCAGAGGTGAATGACCATACTTATCATAGCCCATGGGACAATCCACATGGGGAATTGTGTGGTGGGGAGTAGTTTGATTACTGGCTGGTGCAATAACCATCTTATAGTTGGATTGAGGTTTCCTATAGTTAATATCGTTATATAGTTATATATATATAGAGATATCACCTAAAGTTACTATATCTGGTTGGTGGTTGATCCTTCCCCTCTGAAAAATGATGGAGTTCGTCAGTTGGGATGATGATATTCCCAACTGAATGAAAAAAAAAAACTCCAAAGCAACAACCAGGATTAGCAATCATAGTGGGGTCCAGCTGCAATTGATGAGAGCATCCCCGATCAGGATATCATGGCAATCTAATACGGACAACCTTGGGAAATATGGCCTAATATAGCTTGGATATGTTCACGGAATATCAAAACTAACGAGTTAAGCATCAAACGTGGTGCTATGTGGATCTAATGGATGATATATTTGGATGTCAATGCTAATTTACCACTTGGATTTGCTGAATTGGGCCAACAAATAGGTTGGTGGTTTGAAGCATCTTGAAAAATATTAGTCAATGGGAAGGATTATCCCATATATTATGGAAAATAATCCAAATGTTTGAAACCACCAACCAGAGGAATCTTCGCTGAATCGATTCCCCCAGTATTGGATGTTCCTCCACTTAATTGCGTGGTTCTCAACTCCCGGCAGAAAAATCATGGATGTCAAGATCCTACAAGGTGAAACACCCCATAAGTTGGCTAACAAAAACCCATTAACTATCCCATATGCGAACCATGGTGCTGGAATATTTACCTACATGACTGGGCCATATATATGGGGTAAATGTAGGGATTCATATTCCAGCACCATGGTTCGCATCTGGGTATAGTCCTTCTATTCCCTCAATATACCCTAGCTGACCGAGGTATACAGTAAGTCAACTTAGCGTTTGGAAACCTTGTACTGATGATGGGACATACCCTGGCCCTAGTTTCACATATGGATGTTTCATAACTGGTTGGTGGTATACCATGGTATACCTACCCCTCTGAAAAAGATGAAAGTCAGTTGGGATTATTGTTCCCAATATATGGAAAAATAAAAAATGTTCCAAACCACCAACCAGGATCCAATCTATTGTCCAGTCTTCCCAATTATATAGTTCCACGCAGCCACACATGCACACAGACGATACACAAACAATCTTGGCAAATTACACTTCCCGCACTTGAAGAAAGATAAACACATGGCATATCATAGCCAATCTTCGATACCCTGCCTCTTTTCCAGCTGCTTAGTACGAGTAATACATCCTATCATATCCCCATGTATATAATATATATGTCAAAGGATGAAACTACCCATATTTCAGTCGGTTTCCCGAGCAATGGGCTACTCTCCAAGACCATTTCACTTCCCCAGCACCATGCAGTGGTCAGCTCGGGTCTCTGACCATCCAAGTTGGTCCAAAATTGGTTCCATAGATGGTCACACTCCTGGCGATCCCATGGCAGGCTGCTCCCAAAGCCCATGAGGAATCACAACTGGATCCTCTTCTTTGAATTCAGTGAAAATTGTTGACTCACTTTCATGGTTACTGTAAGTTACAGGGATACACTATTGAGATATTATCTTGTTTACATAGGCGTCGTGCGATACCAACTATTGCAGTGAAAACTCTTGTTTTGCAATGGAAATTCACAAGAGACATAAACTTCAACATGAGTCGAGCAAAAGTTGGTGCATTGATTTTCTTGTCAGCTGGAGAGTCATTTTGTTTTGCGGATTTTCTTTGCCGGCGACTTTGCCCGGAAATCAGCCAAAAAGGTGGCAAGTTCCGTGTGGCCCATCCGAGATGCCAGATGAGCTAAGTGCTCCATGGTTGTATCACTATTGGCACTAGACTCAAGCATGAAGCGCACAAGATCGAGATGGCCCTGTTCAACTGCAAGGTGCAAGGGTGTCGACCCATTGTCCGTTCTAGGCTGGTCTTTGTTTGCCCCAGCCTCCACCAAGAAGCAAGCAATATCGAGATTGCCCTGTTCAACTGCAAGGTGCAAGGGTGTCGACCCATTGTCCGTTCTAGGCTGGTCTTTGTTTGCCCCAGCCTCCACCAAGAAGCAGGCAATATCGAGATTGCCCTGTTCAACTGCAAGGTGCAAGGGTGTCGACCCATTGTCCGTTCTAGGCTGGTCTTTGTTTGCCCCAGCCTCCACCAAGAAGCAGGCAATATCGAGATTGCCCTGTTCAACTGCAAGGTGCAAGGGTGTCGACCCATTGTCCGTTCTAGGCTGGTCTTTGTTTGCCCAGCCTCCACCAAGAAGCAGGCAATATCGAGATTGCCCTGTTCAACTGCAAGGTGCAAGGGTGTCGACCCATTGTCCGTTCTAGGCTGGTCTTTGTTTGCCCCAGCCTCCACCAAGAAGCAGGCAATATCGAGATCGCCCCGTTCAACTGCAAGGTGCAAAGGTGTTGACCCATTGTCCGTTCTTGGCTGGTCTTTGTTTGCCCCAGCTTTCACCAAGAAGCGGGCCATATCGAGATTGTCCCGTTCAACTGTGAGGTGCAAGGGTGTTGATCCATTGTCCGTTCTTGGATGGTCCTTGTTTGCCCCAACGTTCACCAGAAAGTGTTAGTAGTTTGACCCATTGTCAGTTTTTGGTTGGTCCTTGTTCGCCCCAGCATTCACCAGAAAGCGGACTATCTTCAGATGTCCGTCTTCAACTGCGAGGTGCAAGGGCGTTGCCCCATCAGCAAGAATGGACGTTCTAGGCTGGTCCTTGTTTGCTCCAACTTCCACCAGAAAGCGGGCCAAGTCAAGATGGCCCTCTTCAGCTGCCAGGTGTAAGGCTGTTGACCCACATTCGTTTGTAGTTTCTCAAGTTGGCACCTAGGTCCACCAGAAGTCGGACCACGTCGAGCTGGCCCTCTTGAGCTGCTAAATGTAAGGGGGGTTCTGCGGTAGACCGCTTGTACTCAATGTCTGCACGTGCCTCAACCAGTAACCGAACGAGCTCAACATGTCCCCACGCTGCAGCATGGTGCAAGGGGGTGAATCCCTCTTCATTCTCCGCATTGGGATCTCGAGGTTGTTGAAGCAGCTTTTCAAGCGCCTCTGAATCATTCCTCCTACATGCGGAGATCATCTTTTCATCTTCTTCTTCATCACACGGCCAAAATTCTAAGAGCAAAACCTTGAGTTTCATTGGATCTGCCCCAAACACCTCATCATCCTCAATTTGCTGTGAACCATCTTCCGAGAAGAATCTTTGTCTGAACCTCGGAATGCCCAGCTTTGCTGCCAACATGGACTTCAAGGCCCTGGCAGATTTTCCTTCCACGTCAGCTATGTCAAACTCAGCCAGCGTGGCACCCGATGCCAGGGAGGACACCTCCATTGCAAATCCCAGAGGATCTCACCCTCTGGGAATCCTGGCTTGGATCTCTCTACATGTTTTTGAGACCATCACCTACATATCATATGGCATCATGGCCAATCTTAGATACCCTGCAGAGAATTAGATTCTTAGCTGGTTAGTAGATAATCCCATTGATGCCAAAACACTATATAAAGAATTAAACTACCCATCTACGATTGCCCTAGTTGAGAATTTAGGCAATGTATCATTATCGTTATATTGGTGAGGATGGTGCAGAGCATCCCAGGTTTTTGAACCCGAAAGTGCTGCAGCAAGCCGTGGCTTAGCCTCCAAACTCAAGCAGTTCCCTCGGTTCCTTCACGAAAGGGTCCACTGTTCCATCTTTGTTGGTTAAAACACTGTATAACACTGTGCTGGTTTCAAGTCACAAATTGCTTCGTATATGTTGCCTCTTTTCAGTCCCTCTAGATCTAGTTAACAAAATCACATGCTTGAGTCCCAGCTAGTTGTTCATTGAAACTCCAAGAAAAAGGTGAGTTGTTCAAACATGTTCAACCCCGCACGAAGGAACATCCCCATTCAGCAGGGCCTTGGCATCGGGGATGGTACCCACCACTGCTCAAACAATGCTTAAAGCAGGGTTGTCAGAAGGTCTTCCTGATTCTTTTCCATTCTATAGATTGTTCTAGGGGATTATATTACATAGAACAATATATTTTGAACAGTATAGATTAAATCCCATGCAGTAGTTGACTATAACCATCCAACAGGTTCAACTGACATTGTTCACTTCTTGACAGCGCAAAACTCGTCAGATCCCGCTAAGCGTAGCCAGGGTCACGTGCCACCACGTGCTGTGCCGTTCATAGGCGAGATATGTGTCACGGTGGGCCTTGGGTCGATCGCGCAACTACCGCTTTGCAACTTTGGGAAGTCAAAAAATCTGTAAAATCCTGACCCAAAACCTCCCAAAATGCCCAGATGCTCCATGGTGCTGGAATATTTACCTACATTTGGACCATTTTTGGGGCAAATGTAGGTAAATTATACCATACATGGAGCATCTGGGATGGGTTCGGGATAGCATGACCTATCTCTGATCAACTAGGGTCTGCTCATGGCTCACTGGTGGGAAATCATAGGTTTTTTTTTCCTGTAACGAAGGGACTAGAAGAAACGCAGAGATGTGATATACAAACAAAGAGTCTGCTAGTAATAGCTGAGTTATCACCATTCGGTAGAACTATAGTTACAATGGTGACAGCCTCAATATACAAAAACCAATGGTGCGCTGGTGACCGACAAAGCCACGGCTATTTTTTTGGGGGGGAACCATCCTTGGGGGAAATTGTTGCGTTTAAGAGCCAACCATCCATCCCAAAAGATATGGTTTTTGTTTCAATGGGATGTGTCCGAGACACCCGTTATATCCCGTTTTTCAAGATGATTCATTCGCTCCATCGCTGGTGAAGCCCAGGCAAATTAAATCAGCTTAACCATAGATAGCAATACTGTTTCTGTGTGTCATTGTCCCTGGCCATGTACCCTCTGGTAATTTAACATAGCTATGGAAAATCACCATTTTTAATGGGAAAATCCACTATTAATGGCCATTTTCAATAGCTACGTTAAATTACCAGAGGGTAGTCGCATTCTACCAGGATTCAGCGCTGCTATTTTTCGAAAACTCGCTGATCAACTGAGATGATCCTCCCTGAGATTGGTTGGCAACGAAGACTTTTCCGTCAACAAGTCATACTTACGGTGATGCCCCAGTGAGCTGTTCACGCTCAGTTGGTGCAAATAAGCCCAACATCTAGGGTTGATGAATGGGTGTTATAGGGATTATAGGTGTTATATCTATATAGGTTTCATGGGGATTAAAAACCAACAAACATAACGTTTGGGGGGTACCACCTTGTATATATTCTGGTTAGTGGTATACCTACCAGGATATCACAATTAGTGAAATGTTATTTAACTATGTTTATTAACCATTTACTATGGTTTATCATGATTAGTATAATATTAATCAATAGTGGTATACCTACCCCTCTGAAAAATATTAGTCAGTTGGGATGATCATTCCCATCATGTGGAAAAAAACAAAGCCATGGTCCAAACCACCAACCAGATATTTTCCAGTGCTATGGTTTATTAATAACTATGTTTATCAACCATTTACTATGGTTTATCATGAATAGTATAATATTAGTCAGATGTATATATTGTGTTATATATATAAGTCCATATATACGAATAAATGTTCCAAACCACCAACCAGATGTATATATTGTTATATATATATATACTAACTCATTCCTTGCCGGTCACATCACATGGATGATCCCTTCACGTCACCTTTTTTTATCATGTACTCTCACTAGAAAGGCACAACAGCCGCGAGGTTTACAACCCGAAAGTTATGTAAACACATTACTTATAGATGCTATAACATGAAAAAGAACGTGACTGACAACTTCACAGCTATCTTACGCTTATTATATCTATATTATACATGATGATATTGTATGCCTAGTAGAGTCTGACACATCTAAACTCATAGTGTGAACACATCTCCCAGACGCCACGACCACAAAACAGCCGACCCCCGTTTCTGCGCTGCGAAACGAGCCACGTCTTGTTCACTGCAAAGGTGATGGTGGCCTCTGAGCTGCTGACCCACCTGGGGCAGGGGTCACTGTTGGAAAATGCTGGGCCTGAAGGGTCTGAAGTGTTGCAGCCAGTACCTGCAGTTATGGCCATGGCTATGAGTTATAACTGGTTATTTCTATGGGATAACAAACATTCTATAAATGGGGTTAGTTCAGTACTTATAACTGGTAAATGGCCATAACTGTGGGTGTATAAAACGGTGGAAACGCGTTTTTCTGAAATCGCTGGAATCGGATGAAGAAACGTCGGAATGGCTGGGAAGATATGGATTGGTCCCCAAGGAGCCAGGAATCCCGGCTCGCTCATGGCTTGTGGGAACTCCTCGTAGTAGTGGATGCCACCACGCCAGGCCTTTAGATGTGCGCAAAAAAGATTCAATATACATAACGATGGTATATCAAACTTGTTAATAGTAATTATTGGCCTTTAGAAACCCATTTGTATTTCTCATATACAGAACGTGTATATATACATATACATGAGATGCATGTACAGTAATTGTATGTTTTTGCTTTGTATGTAATCTTAAAGTTGTACTCGAGCTGTATGTCTGAAACCAGAACCCTACTATTGAGAGAGAGTATTCAACGGGTAGAAATCTACAGGAAACCATTGTTTTTACCATCAAATATAGGGGTTTCCTGTAAATGTTCCCATTCCCATCATCCAATTCTATGAATGTTGTTGCTGGAGAAATGAATGTGCAAACATCTAGCATCAACAGTATGATTATGCGGATATATATATATATGTATATAATACATTTGGAGTATCTCTACTTGGAATGCGCCAAAATGACTAAACGCTGACTGAACCACAATCACCAAACAGATCTCCGGCATGAATGGACCCGCAGAACTTTCAACACTTTGGCAACATGTTGGTTGTAACTAGCCAGATCCATATGGGGGTTTCCATAGTCATGGGGCTACCCCAATAGCTGGATGGGTTTATAAGGAAAAAACCGAAAATAACATGGATGATGACTGGGGGTACCCCCATTTATGGAGACCTCATATAACTGAATATAGGAGACACATGGGGCACTACTCGGGTACTAACCCAATGAAATAGAACTGCCACCAAAAAAATGGAGATTTGACATGGATTCTCCAACAATTCGAGCCATGTTAACAGGACAAAATACGATCCACCAGTGGATTTAGGGGTTGCCGAAATTTGGGACAAACCCATGTAGGTGGACAGCCCGAAAATCCCTTCCCCCTGAACAAACAGCCCGCAAAAACCATGGTGGATGTAGGGGATAAGAACACATATTTGGGACCACTCACCATGGTGTTTAATATGAACAGGGGATGGGACTAATGTATGTAGCCATTCTCCAAAGTCACACATCACGAAGTGCATGGATGAGTCACCCCTTGAGAACAGAGTCACTCCATCGTCACCAATTTGCCAAACCACAGGACCGACCGTGATCAATTTCCAACCATCTCATAGGATTTGGTTCTTAGAGTTCTGTTCCTCAATTCATTTTTTTCATTCCGGATATGTTAAGGTCTTCTTTCCAGAAGAATTGAAAACAGAAAACTAAATAAATCCATTTAAAGCAATCTATGTATATACTGTGTATGTATATATATATACACATACATGAATCACAATAAATCAACATAAATCCCTATATAAATCACCATAAAGCGCTAATAAATCACCGTAAATCCTTGCATTTTTGCGCAGTGCCGAGGCACTAGTCGTCGCAGGTTCATGTGCAGATTGGGTCCAGTCATGTATTGCACCTGAACTCCCCGTGCTGGGGACATCCTATCCAAAACTATCTGATTTGTCTAATGGATTTGAATGGGATCTTATAGGGATTTCATGGGATTTTATAGGGATGTCATGGGATTTTACAAGGATTTTATAGGGATTTAATGGGATTTGCACAATTTTACCCCCTAAACAGTGGCCATCATTTACCTGTAATGGATTGGAGCAACCCTGTCATGGTCGAAGGGATCGGGATTTCCTGTGGATTTTCTCTTCAACCGACTCTGAGACTATAGCTACCCCAACAAAAGCGGTAGCACCTAAGAAGTTGTTACACCATATTTACTGGGATATCAATGGACTCCTGATGGGATAATTACCTGTGTCTGTGTGTCTGAAAATTCTTCGTCTACCTGAAAAAAATTGCAGTGTTTTTTGTTGGGAAAACACTTATAAATCATTGGATTTTAAAGGGATGTCATGGGTTTTTATAAGGATTTCATGGGATTTTATAAGGATTTCATGGGATTTCTGGGTCCCAGACACATCCAGACACACCACCCTGTAGAACTGACGAACTGGGCCGGGGGACAGTGGCTGACTGAGTCTCTTGACTCTCCCAAATCAAATGGTTTAAAAGCGAATTCTCCCGATTTTCTAAAAAGTGGTCATCGCGACTGGGGTATGCTAGGTATTTTTGGACAAACACAGATATCATATGTATATATATATATACACAGTATGTATATGTATATGTATATATATATACACAATATGTATATGTAAATGTATATATACACAGTATGTAAATGTATATATATATATATTTACAGTATGCATATGTATATGTATATATATACACAGTATGTATATGTATATGTATATATATATATATACACAGTATGTATATGTAAATGTAATTATCTAAATACACAGTATGTAAATGTGAATGTAAATGTAAATACGCAGTATGTATATGTATATGTATATATATACACACAGTATGTATATGTATATGTATATGTATATATATACACAGTATGTATATGTAAATGTATAAATATATATATATACAGTATGTAAATGTAAATGTATATATATATACAGTATGTATATGTATATGTAAATATATACACAGTATGTTCATGTATATGTATATAAATACACAGTATGTATATGTAAATGTAAATATATATATATATATCAATATATATATATATACACAGTATGTAAATGTATATGTATACATATATATACACAGTATGTATATGTTTATGTATAAATATATATACACAGTATGTATATGTATATGTATATATATATATATACAGTATGTATATGGATATGTATATGTATACATATATATATACAGTATGTAAATGTCTATGTATATATATACACAGTATGTATATGTATATCTAAATATATATATATATATATATACATACACAGTATGTATATGTATATGTATATATATACAGTATGTATATGTATATGTAAATATATATACACAGTATGTATATGTGTATATATATACACAGTATGTATATGTATATGTATACATATATATATAATCATATATAAATATATAAACATAACAAGTCAGTGAGTATCTCCCCATAAATTAATTGGTTGTACATTGTACGCCCCAAGGTCACGTCAGTTTTTTCCAACGTCCCAGTGGCGTTGCGCACTGCGACTTCACAAGTTTCGGCTGGTGCAACCAGCTGCCCCACGACCTGCAGGTCAGCAACTGCAAGGTATGGCCCGGGGCCCACCCCTTGAATGTATAAATTCCCTAGAAATCCAGTGATTAGATCTTCAGGTTGATAACTGTATACATATATGATCTATAGATATTAGCTCGATATTTTTCATATCATATTTATATATATATAATATCTATAACTATAGAACACTATAGACATCTAATCATTATATTGATATGATATGATATAAATAATACGTCTATCATCTGGCCCAACTCACTATAGTTCTAGCATGTTCTCTCTCCCATAAGAATCATCACCTTAGTTATTGGAGTGGTCACGAACTGATGTCCCAGCTTGTGGGTATGTCAGCAGGAGAATCCTAGGACCCCAAACCACGGTAATTGTTGATTGACAGTATTTTTCCATATTTTTCCCATCCTCCAGTTCCGGGAGTATGGGGTCAAGATAGAAGTTATTTCCAACATCTTCCCTACTGCAAGCTCAAAGTGGACCTGCACCAAATATGATTCATATGAAGTCATCCTGGAAAGTCCTTGTAGGGGAAAATTGTTCTAGAGTTCTTGCAGCCTCCATCAACATTTCTTTATGGATCCGAATACTTCCTGGCAAGGGACAAATCACGCGCCAAACCATACACCAAATACCCCTAAGGCAAGACTGAATCCGTAAAATCTTAAATTTTCATCATCAGTTGGATTCAGTCTTGCCAACCATTCACATGGTATTTTCATCATCAACCAACCATTCACAAGTTGGTCCCGCCATCCCCCGCCTGCATCTCTTGGATCTGGCAATTTCCGGATGCTGAGAGGAAGCGAACGAATCGCCCCAAGACCGGAGTTGTCAACCTCAGGGTGCGGGAGCCACCATGTGAAATATCCCAGGTAGATTAGCGTCATGGAATATCGTAGACTATTGTCACTACTGTCGCTACTGTAATGGAATATCAAAACGTTACTTATATATGGGTTATAGATGGTGATAGAATCTTTTAGAATGTTATAGATGATAGAAAACGACTATCAGTGACTATCAGCCATACGGGGAAAAGTCTAGGAAGGACCTCAGTCAGGATCAGGGGTTTTCACCAGTTTACCACGTCGAACCAAAACGGGATTGTCCGGCGATGATGTCGATGTTTGTGTCAAAATCTAGGATATACATGGATATACCTGGATATATGATATATGATATATATATATATACACGTATATGAAATACATTGTTAGTAGATGTACTAGTACATCATAGTACATCTGACACTGGCATTTCTTTCATCAAAAGAAACGCTTTTCCAAGCCCTGGGAATTTCCAATCTTTGGGGCGTCATTTCGGCCGGCTGAGCTCCCGACACCACGTCGTTCCAAAGCATCTTGGGAGTCTCCCTGAGAGCATCGTGGCATCGCCGGTGTCGGTTAAGGGGCCCCCTTTTTAACGAGTTCGCGTGAACCGAAACGCCTCAAAAAAGTGGCTGAAATCTATGGTTTATGGTAGATATAACGAACTAGTTCATGGGGCATATAATGGTTTATAAACCCACTTATAACTGGGACCCCCATCCTGTATGTTAACCTGAGCAATCTTAGATACCCTTCAAAAGAAACATGTTTTTAGCTGGTGAACGTAGATAATCTCGTTGATACCGGTTGATACCAAGAGACTGAAGGATTAAACTACCCATCTAAGATTGAGCTAGTTAATGGGACTTCATGGAATTTGATGGGGATATAACAGATTATATAATGATTCATGGGATATGTATACAATTATATGAGATTATACGAGCATAACCCATATCACGACACGGTTTTGTCTGAAAATTTCAGTCAACACAATTCGGTTTTTCATCATTTGATTAACATTGCCATTTGGGGATTTACTTCAAATTGACTTTGGTAGTTGTGTTTGAGCGGTCAAAATGACTGTCGACTTGCTAAACAAACAAGGAATTCCAACCAACAACAACTATTGACTATGAGAAATCCTGACATTCTGGAGTGGAATCTTACAACAAAACAAATTCAATCCTCAAACATCTTCAAACTTGCTCCGAAACCTGGGATTTCCATGAATTTCCGGCGGAAATCTCAACGGCGCAGCAGTCGCCCTTGGTGCCCCGGTGGCCGTGGTCGTTGGGTCTCCCAGACGCCACGGTGTAGACGTCCGTCCAGGTGATCTCCGGAACTTTGGGGTTGCAGTACTCCCAGCCTGGCGCCGAATTTGGGGTACCTGCTATGGTCATCGAATGTTAAATTGAACGTAGATAATCCCGTAGCAAAAGACTATTTTGGATTAGTTTCTACCCATCTAAGATTGCTCTAGATCTAGTGGTTTAGTATCCAACAAGATTGATGGTTTAATTGTGAGTAATTCACTTTCAATGGTGATTTAACTGGTTTATATGATGGTTGATGATGTTCAATGGGAATATAATGAGAATATAACCTTTCTTTCACCAACAAGAAAAGGCTATTTACTAGAACATTGATGGAATATATTATGGGAATATAGGGAACAAATTGGAATTTATTTGCTATATATATATGGGAATATAAGGGGATTACTGAAAATATTAAATGATGGTTAATGAGTTGATAATGGTTTATGATGTTTATATTTATATGCTGGTTGATTATAGCTGATGATGTTCAATTGGAATGCAATGGGGATATAACGGGATATATAACCAACAATATGGTATTTATATGGGGCCCTTGGTCATCTCACCAGCATTCGTCAGAAATTCCTTATGGCATGATAGTTGGTATATGTACAAACTCCAATGGACATAGATTAATGACTGTTCCCACATGGTTTATCCTCTGGTAATATGAAAAACAGGCCGCGGATCGAAAACGAGAACTATGTACATATATATATATATATATAATGTATTATAATGGTCGATCGATCGATAGATAGATAGATAGATCGATAGATCGATAGATAAATAGATAGATAGATAGATAGATAAATATAAATAAATAAGTAGGTATAAAAGATAAGATAAGATAAAATAAAATTAGATAAGATAGATAGAAAGATAGATATATAGATAGATAGATTAGTAGATTAGTAGATAGATTAGTAGATGGAGTAGTAGATAGATTAGTAGATAGATAGATAGATAGATAGATAGATAGATAGATAGATAGATAGATGGATAGATAGATAGATAGATAGATAGAGTAGCAGATTAGGTAGATAGATAGGTAGATAGATAGATAGATATGTTATCTACAAAACGGGCAATTCTCCATAGCTTTCTGGAGGCTAGATTTATTGGGAGAGGGGATCAAAGCCAATGAAATACCATATTTGGGGGAATGGACATCCATTGACCAGCTTTTGAAATCAACAAGGCAACTACCCTCTGGTAAACGTTTACGTAACTATGGAAAATCACGGGAAATTCCACTATAAATGGTCATTTTCAATAGCTATGTTAGTTTACCAGAGGGTACTAATTCTTGTTTTTGATGGGGTAGCTTGGGATACTGAAAAGCCATTCCCAAGAGATACAGGGCACAGAGCTGTTTCTCCTTCAAACGACGAGCAATGAACTGATCCAAAGTAATTCTTTCCCGAAGCCAATGGCAGGTTGACGGATCATTGTTGCAGTACACGTAGTCTTCCTTACCTTTCGTGATAACCGAGCACTGGAAGCAAACATGCTGCCCCTGCCACGACGCAGTGAACAGCCAGACATCTGCCATTCCCAGTCTCCTCTCATCTCTGTGACTTTTCCCAGAGGATATCCCAAATGTCGTTCCAACACCGGGATGATTACATCCATGGGCAAAGATGAAGCATGTGTATATATATGTATATATAGTATATACATATTATATGTATATATACAAATACATATTATATGAAAATATATGTATAAAAAGAGGTACTGATCTGTGCAAGGTCCACCCAAGGGAATATCACCACAACATATGGCAAACCATGCAAAACGCTACCGACAGAACAACGGATTTGGAGGTCATGTCAACAATGTGGTGCCCCGTGCTCAGCTAAGTTGCTTTGGGATACGTTTGTTTGATAAAACGACGTTCACATATTAGATATTACACAAATATATTGATCAACATTGCTTTATCTGATTCCAATAACCTATATGAAAATCCATAATCGAAATCAACTATATAAATCAAGATGGTTTCTGGATAATGATACAGTATAGTCCCTTCCCCAAAATTGCTCTTAGCGTGGAAGGGAGTATTGGTGATACACTCGCTCAGTTAGCGTCTTATTTTTTTGAGATTGTTGTTACAAGGTGAACGACCCCCTAAATAGACAAGTTGGTTTCAAACGTCAACGACTAGGACTTATGGTAGAAATATCTATAAATACTTAATGGGGTTATAAACCAACTTACGTCGAACTTGCAAGTGGGGGCATGAACTTGTAACTATTGTTTTGTTGATGCACGGGAAATCTATGGTTTTGTCTAAAGGCGTGGCACCCCAATTCGTGCCAAACGGGGAAAGGGATCGTGAACCATGGGGGTTGGGCGGTTGCTAATTTTGAGATATACCTTCTGGTAATCAAACGCGGCAATTGAAAATCCTGGATTTTATGGGGCTTAGTATGGTTTATTGGGAAATCCATCTATGAACGGGGAATTTTCCATTGCCATGTTTGATTGAAGGAGGGTAGCCACACATGTCCCTGATATAGTTCTACACTACCAGATATTCTATACAGTGTGATTTATTTCGGTTGTCGTTTTATCTCGACAAAGATTGGGCAAGTTTCTTGGCCCCGTATAACCACAGTTTAGGCACCGCAGTAGGCCCCCCCAGTCAGAAGTTAGGCTTATACACTCATCCAACTATAGATGTATCTATCATAAACCATATTGTAAACCTACAAGATGGTGCCCCAGATCGTTAGCTAAGTTGGTGCAAATAATTCCAATTTCATTATTGTTTGTAGGTGATATATCGAACTAGTTAATGGGATTATAACAAATTTTTAACTAGCGGGGCACAACCTTGTAAACCATATGGTAAAACTAGTTGCTTCAACCAACCTATCGGGCCTTACATTGCAACTATTGGAATCCACTCTCTCTATGCCTGAATTATAATTCACCAACCTTAAAAAAGGCCACTTTGGGATATCCCTATATCATAGCTATCATCTATAGTCACGTCGCGGTGACGTAGATACCATTTATCCAGAAGTGTCCATCATATATTATGTACCAAATTAGCCATTATGATCTATTATGATATTCCATGATCTGTCCGTGATACCTACTTCCCCATGATATCCCCAGCGTTTTGTCACCTTTTAGCGTGGCATAATCCCATGAAACTCGCAGTTGCTTGGAGTTCAGAGGTCCACAGTGAATCTCCCAGCCTCCCTTCTGAAGCCAGCACCAGATACCGCGCGTGCGACCTCAATTCAACGACCGAACGATCAAGAAATTGATCAGTTTCAGTTTCATCTCCAAAATTGGAAGGTGGTAAACCTATCTGGTTGGTGGTAGTACCTACCCCTCTCAAAAATATGAAAGTCAGTTGGGATGATTATTCCCAATATATGGAAAAATAGTGGTAAGCCTATAACTGGTTGGTGGTGCAATAACCATCTTGAAAAATGATGGAGTTCGTCAATGGGAAGGATGACATCCCATATATGAAATGGAAAATAAAAGCCATGTTTGAAACCACCAACCAGCTATAAATATGAACCCACAAGGTGGTGCCCACCTTGCAAAGTTGCTGTATTTCAGGAGCTTAGGAGGATGGCACCACCTTGGACCAACAGGTGTCTTAACAGGCCCCGATCTTGCGATTTCGAAAAACTTTCTTAATCAACCTCATCCCCACAACAAAAACATAAAAATAAAAAAACAGGGATGTGTGTTAATCAACATCATCTCCAAAAAAACGGGATAGCCATGGATAATCTAGCTCTCATCTATCAACCAACTTAGCTAACTATGGGGCCACGGATTCCACCCAAAATTGGGTGCCCCACTTCCAGGCAAAGGGTTGCGGCAATAGCTGTGCCTCAGCAGAATTTCGGCCGATGTGGCACAGGGCTTATGAACTCGTGGTAAAAACTATGGTTCAATCACCTCCAGTTGGGATATTATCCCCAAAAACCGGTAATTTAAGTGACACTTTGCTATTGAAAAAAACGGCCCTTTTTTGAAAAATCATAGAAATTCGCGTTGATTTCGTGTGTTGATTTACCGTAATGAAACATGGTGATGTTCCATAGCGAACTGTTGGTTTAACCGAGGTTATCAGATCACTTTCCAGGGCAAGGTCACAAGGTCCAACCGAGTCCAACTGCAAGCCAAACCCCGGCTTGCGTAGTGAAGATTAATGGTTAATAATAATGGTGTTTAATAAGCCGGGTGGTGAATAATGGTTAATAATGGCTAATAATGGTTAATAATAATGGTTAAGCAAACCATTAATGGTTAATAATAATGGTGTTTAATAATGGTTATTAACAATTAGCTATGTGAAGAAAGTTAAAGTTGGTGTGACTCCACAACAACATGTCACAACATGTCACACTGTCTACATGTGAAATGAAAAACTATTCGACTCACAGCTTGGATTCTGCCACATTTCTTTGGCTTTGTAGCTGAATCGCCAAGCTGATTTTTCCCACCTTTCCTGAAGCTTCGTTGCCGGAACATCCCATCAACAGTGCCAATCAGCCAGATACCCTGCAAACAATGACAAATTCTTAGCTGGTGAACGTAGATAGTATCATTGATGCCAAAAGGCTAAAGGATTAAAATACTCATCTGAGATTGACCTAAGGCTAACCCCGAAGCCATGGCAAGTACGGCGCTGTTGCAGCAAATACGAGACATTTGGCTGATGCTTTTCCAGGTTGTAAAACTGTTGAACAAGGAACATGATCCCTAAAGCTCAATTGGCGCGTTCTTCGGGGAACAAATCTTATCTATAATTCGTTCTATCTTTCGTCTTCAAAAGAATCAGGCATTGGAGTTTACCGCCCTTTTATAGCTATGTTGATACGGAACGTGAGAGGGTTTTAAACCATGTTAAACCGATGAAATGACGATGAGCAAAAATTAGCACCTCAACTGTTTTTTCCCATGCATTAAAAAATACAGTACCCCTATGTAAAGTCCAGTGTTTCATCATGATGTTCCCCATGTTCAGTGCCATTTGGTGGTACAACAACTCCCAGGTGACGTGGGATTGTCAACCCAAGGTGCCCCCAAAAGCGAAGTTGGTGGGTTTATATCTGGCTTAACGAGTGGGTAAACATGGTAGATATATCCAACTAGTTTTCATCTATGATTTAGAAATGAACCCCAGTTGGTTTGTAGTATTTTGTAGTTCCAGTTGATGTACGGTAGATATGAAATAATATGAATATCCAATTGATTTTAACATCACAGCGGGGTTGTAAAGCAACTTCCACATCACGTTTGGAAGGCACCACCAAGCGTAGGACTTTGGGATAGCCTACGATTTAAGGCCAAAGCCTCGTGGCAGCCATGGTAGATTTCAGGGCTGAAGCGCCCAAGTGAATGTTAGTTTATAACCATCTGACCACAAATATATATATATATATACATAATCACATACTATATACATACATAGTTACATAGTATACAGTTACGATACATATGAACATGCTCAATGACCATATAAATCTTATATACATATACATCTAATCATCAATTATATATATACGTATATGTATGCCACAAACCAAAGTAGACTCTGTTAGTTCCACCGACTTTCCTATCTTGGAGCCCCAACATGACCTAAGGATTGGGAGCACCAACGTATCCCCATTACCCTCCGGTTATTCAACATAGCCATGGAACATCGATGGTCCCATGGTGGGATTAGCTGATGGTAAATTCTCCATGGCTACACCTAACAATAAATAATCAGAGCATCACGTAATTTCCTGTGCAAAGGTGACCAAAAACTAAGCTATACAAACAATGTTGAATGGGAGCGAATAGGGGATTTATTATGGTCACCTCCAGAAAGATAGACAAATAAAATCCTACTATATAGTGATGATGTATGTTCTATCTGTTGTGGGTTGCTAAAAAAAGATTCTAGCCAACAAAAAAAAGTATCCTCGCTGCAACCATTTCAACACTGTAGCAGACCAGCCCTGAGTGAGGTTGCACTTACAGTAACATTGGCTCCTCCCTGTACAATGTCACACATCTTCTTAATAAAAATGTTGCAAATCAAGAGTTTTGGGCAGAGCTGTCAAACTTAGAACCTCTTTTTCCTCATTCAAATAGCCATAAAAAAATATAATTTGAATCCAATTGCAATGGAAAAAAAACACATTGGAAAGACCATATGTTCCCATTTTTCCATACGTTTCCATTCAAAACACACCATTTTTCAAAAAAAAACCTAAGTTAACAGTAAAATTAAAATGTTCTTTGGACAAAGCCAGGTCCTCCCATATCCCCTTGGCGCCGAAGCCCAGCCAGGGATGGCTCATCATAGTTTTTGTCTGTCGCGGCACCCCAAAAACGGATCTGCTGCTAGCCCCTACCAGTGGTGCCTTCAGTTATGGCCATTCACCAGTTATAAGTACTTATAACCCCATTTATAGAATGTATAATCCCATTTATAACCAGTTATAACTAATGAATGGCCATAACTGTACCAGTGGTGCCTTGAATGTCTTCCCGGCAGATTTACTTTGAGAAATGCGAAGA